CTTCACCAACAAGTCCTGACTATCTTCCAGTCCAAGGAGATTCCATACTTCATCATGGCAAGGATGGCATCAGATGGCTACCGCTCGGTGGAGGACCTTGCCGATCGATGGCCCACCATCACGGAGGCCCGGAACAACTCCCCAGCAGACCTCCAGTTCCGTCACACAGACCGTGGGGGAGCTTTGATCACACAAGAGAAGACGAATCACCTGGCCATGCGCATTTCACAATGTGTCCGTCAAGCACAACAGTTGCTGGGCACTGGGGGCCTGAACCAGGGCCGAGTGGGACCTGCAGGGCTACTGCCGACGACGTCACAGGCGGCGCCCTCCCTGGATGCCCTGTGTGATCGACGCCAGCTCCTGCAGACATGGACGGTGGTCGTCCAGCTCCCACTCCCACGATTGGAGGATCAAGGCTCGGATGCCTTGTTGAAGAAACAGTTCAAACTCTGTGCGCAAGGAGAAGTTGGCTGGATTGCCAGCAAGTACATCATATCAGCCCTACCAGACCAGGATGAGCGGCCTATCAAGACCACCAAGAAAGTGACGGTCGATGGATGGGAAAAGGAAGAAGAGGAGGAGACACGGAAACTCCCAACTACAAGGCGTCAGTTGGAGCACATGCACCTGGTCTTTCGAACCAACCTCCTCATGGCCATCCTCTCATTTCCCAGCATGCCGAAGCTGAACATCACCCATAGGGACCTAGAGGACTGGTACCGATGGTTCTGGGGAAAAGACATTGCGGATAGGAGACCGCCTCCCAGTGAACAGGTTCTCCTCTACGCTGAAAGGAACGCATGGAGGGAGATCCACAACTTGGTCTACGGGGGACTGGGCCTCAAGGAGGCCATGGCCCAACTACGTCAGGACACCCTGTTTTGGACCAGAGAGGTCTATGAGTCTGTCGCCCGGCAGAAAGGCAACAAAGGCTCCGGGCCTGACTCCCCAACACGACCAGCCAAGTCAAAGGGACGCCAACCTTCGTGGTCACCAACTCAGCCACAATGGAACAAACAAAAAGGGTCACCCAAAGGGGGTAAGGCCAAAGGGGCCATGGGATCCGGAAAAGGGAAGGACTCTGAATGGCCTTCAAACTGGGCTAAGATCTCACCCAAGGGAGTACAGTACTGCCGTGACCACTTCCTCAAGAAGAAATGTCCCGGGAACTGCGGACGCTCCCACAACTGTCCGGTCCTCAAGAATGGCTGGGTATGCAACGCCGCACCCTCAGAACACACCCCAGAGCAATGCCCACACCGTTGACTCCTGGCGGACCCGGTAGCGTCTTGCACCGATCACCCACCAGGGTTGATGGACACCCCAACACCTGTCAAAAACCAAGAAACAACGGAACCGGGGGGGGTCTCCCCCAGGTTACCCCAACGACACAAGCACACCACATACACAACAAGAGGCAGTGGGCCGACCACTTGATACAACGATGATCATGAATGGACAGTCCCTGCTTGGGCATTGTCCATGGCTCTCATCGGTTCCCAACAGGCTGTTGGAACGCCTTGTATGGACCACACAACCCACGGGGAGCCTCCACGGGAGGGACATACTACTCCTCTACACCGGCAGGAGTGACGGAGGAGCCTTGGATGACATACTCATCCAACAACACCAGGACCTGGCCCCCAGGATCCTTGCCGTGGACATCCTGAGGCCACCAGAAAAGGGCCCAAACGACATATTGGATGATGAGTTTTACTCAACTCTCTGCTGCGCCGCCGCGAGGGGCCAGTTGTCATTTGTGGGGGGCGGCCCCAACTGCCGGACCTGGAGCATCCTACGATGGTTTCCAAAGCCTGGAGCGCCCAGGCCAGTACGAGGGCGTGATCCCTCCCAGACATGGGGCCTTGACTCAAATTCCCTGGAAGAACAGTTGGACACAGACAAGGACAGTATCCTTCTGCTCCGGCAACTGGTCATCACTGCCCTAGCCGCAAAAGCCAGGCAAAACAAAGGATTCCACTCGTTCTTGGAACACCCTCGTGACCCAGCTGAGTGTAGTCGGGCACCAACGGCGGCAAAATGTTCATCGATATGGGCCACTAGAGTCTACCAGGAGTGGGCCAAAGAGGTAAATCACTGCCAGATCCACCTGGACCAGTGCAGACTGGGACAAAGGGCACAGAAGAGTACGACCTTCTCAACGGACCTTCCAATTCACCATTGGCAAGGCCTCCAGTGCAACCACTCTGGACATTTGAGGCCAATGGAGATGACCTCCCGGGACCTCAGCAGGTACCCGCCAGCACTGATGACAGGGCTAGCAGCAGCAATCATCCAGAGCATTCCAAACACAGGACATCAACCCAACGGGTGCCAACAGGAAGGGGAGCCTCCAGGTCGGACGGACCGCTCCTCATCGGTACCCCTCTCCCAGACGATGACTTTGGATGACGACCCGATCATCGTTCAATCAGGCTTCAAGACTAGACCTCTACGGGATGGAGGAGGTAAGCCCTCAGCCGGGAGACGACCTCCCCCGCTCAGACCTCAGTCCAAGATCAAGCACATTGGAGACTCCATTAGCCACCTGGCAAAAGGATGTGCACAGGACGTCCAACGGTCCATCAACAGGGGTGAAAGAAAACATCCGTTCCCGAAGGAACTTCTTCAGGAGACACGACGGGCCATTGCCCAAGGGATCGGGCTGGACTACCAAATTGCTGAGGAGATGGAGCCAGGCCAGCCGTTCTATCTGAACCTCATCTCAGCCTTAGCGGAAGCTGGTGGAGATGCAGATGCGGCCTACCCCACAAGGGTTGCCAAGGGAGTCCCCTTAGGTGTCACCACACCCACCTGGACATCACCAGGTATATGGCCTACCAAGGAAGAACTCAAAGGAGAATCCCCTCTGTGGGAGGACCTCCTAATACCCATGGGCAGGGACAACTACCCCTCGGCAAAAGATTTCTCCTCTCAGGTCCGACAGACCTTCGTGGAAGAGGTAGATATGGGTATGGTTGAGGGCCCACTCACACAGGAGGAGGCTGCACTCCGCTGTGGATGCACCCCAGATGAACTCTGCCCAGGGCCCCTGGCGGCAATTGACGAAGGAGATAAAATCCGCACAATCTACGACGGAAGCTGGGGCCATGCAAACTCACACATCCAACAAAACACAGTTGAGAAGACCACTGCACCCACAGTGATGGACTGTGTTCAAGCCATTCACTGGCTAACCACCACGAAGGAGAAGACATCTGGGACGGTAGCGTCTTGCACCGACCTGGCATGGCAACCTCCACACAAACAAACCACCTGGGCACTTTTGAAAGCAGATGTTTCAAAAGCACACCGCCGCATCAAGGTCCAGTCCAATGAATGGCGCTACCAGGTAGCACAACTTGATGGTGAATGGTGGATAAACAAGGTGGGTACCTATGGTATGGCCAGCGCCCAACTTTATTGGGGCAGAATGGCGGCACTCCTCCTCAGACTATGCTACATGATGTTTCCACACATAGACTGGGGCTTTGTGTTCGTGGACGATTTTTGTTGGCTCCTCAGGACGGACTCCGCCACTGAGGATACTGCAAAACTGCTTCTCTTCTTAGCAGCCATGGGATGCCCCCTCAGTTGGCACAAGACGGTGTTATCTGAGGTCAACACCTGGTTAGGTTTCCAGGTCAATCCATGCGGACCCGTGGTCGACTTCCCTCCAGATAAGAGGAAGACACTTGAGGCACTCCTTCAGACCATTGCTGCGGGCAACACCTTCACGGTGAAGGAGATTGAGAGAGCACTGGGACGATTAAATTGGGCAACGGCAGCTTGGCCCCTCAGTCGCCCTTTTCTTCAGCCATTTTGGGCATGGAAATCCGCGACGACTACCTCAGGGAAGCCCGGCAAGCTCATACGATCCTTTTCAAAGCTTCTCCTCCAGCTGCTTCACAACCCCCAGATCCAGCCCTGCCCTTACGACCCTGCCTCCAATTGGTGGGGTGCCAGTGATGCTAGTGCACACCCGGACGATGGGGCCTACATTGGGGGGTGGATTGCAGATTGTGAGAACCCATCAAAGGATCAGACCTGGTGGTTCCATTACAAGATACCCCTCGAAGACCATCCATGGGCTCACAAGGATGGTGATCCAACCAGACGCATTGCGACCCTCGAGATGTTTGGTACATTGATTCTTACCCACTTCCTTCTGGCTTTGGGTGGGAAATCTCTGCTTCGTACCCGTCTCAGCCTCATTTCAGACAATCAAGGCAATGTCTTTGCCCTGTTGAACCAGAAGACGAAGCACATGCCTACCTCAGCTTTCCTAATGCAGCTCATCGCCATGCTCTATGTTGCTGGGGTTCAATTGGCGCCTTCACACATGAAGCGGGACTACAACAAGTGGGCGGACGAACTCACCCACCCAAACTTCACTGGTTTTCATCCTGATCGACGACTACCAGTGAGTGAAGCTTTTTCCCATTTTAAATTTCTCTGGGCCCTTCTGGATGACCAGATGAGTGTCCCCACCTTTTCAGGAAATTCAAAACGTCGTAAGACCGACTCTCACGCCACCTAAGGTCCTTCGGGAGCCAGGTGGTTGCGGCTGACTTTATGGTGTACAGTGGTGTTTTCCCACCTACAACCCTCTTTTTCCTTTCCTTACTTGCGCGAGCTTCACGCTCCGGCGGGTTGGGTGGATTTTGACGTGTGACACCACCACTGCAGTTCAGAGTTTTCTGTGAAACCATTTGTGATTGATGCGATTGGCATCTGACAGAAACACAGCCGCAAAGCCAACTGCATAACAAAAGGTGCTGACTGACCGATGCAGTTGCTTTGTTCCGTTTCTGTCATTTTCAATTCTATTCGGGAACACTAACTATTATTATTATCATTGTTATCATTATTATTATATAGTAATATGATGTAGCTCCTTAAAATTCACCAGAAATGAGTGGCATCAACCATCCCCACAAGGCGGGGGAACTTTTGTTGGGCTTGCCACACTACAACACATCCTCCCCACTGCCCAGGCTGTGCCAAACTCTGTGCGGAGCTATTGAACTCCACAGTGGAGCCAGTAGAGGCAAGCTCAGTGGATTGTTGTAATTACACTTGTGCCTTTAGATGCCATTAGATATGAACGATTTTCAGAACATTCAGGCGTTCGTTCTCATTTTTTTGCGAGCTTCCTTTCCACCATTCGATCTTTCAACCCCCTTGACAAGCTTCCGACCCATGTAGCTAGGAAACAGTACTTGCATATACTTGCATGTACTATGTACCTTGAACAGGCTGCTTGCCTTGCTGAGTTCCAATTGAATGGTGGTTAAAACTTGAAAATGACTTAAATCAAGATCCTCCTCCACTTCTGGCCAAAAAACGCAGGGTGCTGCAGCTTCTTCAGCAGCCCAGCGACAGAAACTTCGGAGAGAGGTGCTGCATACCTTGAAGCGCGGAGACACAGCATGATCAACAGACCAGGCTGTGATGGGGAAACGTTGGGACATCAGAAGTGGTGTGCTGCTTGAAATCCGTCTTTCAGATTGTGATTGGCCCCGGATGGTGATGTAACTTCAACCACGCATGGAGTTCGAATTTGAAAGAACAGGACGCTACAGGAAGGGTATTGACCAGGCAGTGCAGCAACGGCTGCTTGAACTCGAGAAAGCTCTGGGCCGTTTGGTGAGCCACAGAGTTGTAGTGGCAAGTTATACACATGTACTGTACGTGTGATCTTGTGAAGGGTGTTGCGCCAATCCACTGGGCATGGTAGTCGTGACTGTGATGGGCCACTTGTCCTCCGCTGGAGCCGCTAGAGTTGTGAAATTCATCCTGCAGGAAAATTCAAATTCGTGGCGTTTGGCTGAGGAGCATCTACAAGTTGCGGCAAAAATCTGATGGGTCCGGGAGCCCTACTGTTTGACCCGGAAAGAAAGGGTGCACCAAAGAGTGGGAGTGTGAACCTAATTTCTCAAGGGAAAAGATGCTTCAAATGTTGTTATACCCGTTCTCGACATGTGGGGAAATGTCCTGGTAAGAACTAATGTTTGGATCGTCTACGCTTCTTTCTACTCCTTGCTCCCTCATCACATTGTATTCAGGCTGCCTGCTGACGTTTCCACCGCCATTGCAGATGCAGTCACAGGTTGGACTCGGAAATGTTCAGGACTTCACTAGGAGGTCGTCATTGTATTATATTGTAAAACTGTTTGTGCACGCAAGAGAAACATGGAGTGAACAAAACTGACACTTCACCAGCTCCCATCACATTTCCAGCAATGGAATGTTCCAGCCTTACACTAGCCCGACAGATTTATGTGCATTTGCGTGACTTTGTTTGCTTCTTGACTCCGTTTATTCTTCCATTGCTGGAAAGCTCATGAGCTTTCAAAATGGAGCATTGAGCAATTTTGGTCTGCTTTCAAGATGCCTTAAGAAGAGAATCCGTTGAAGTTCTGTTGGAATTTGTAAAAGTTTCACTGAAACCCTCTTCTTCTCATTTGGCAAAGCTGTACTCGTCCCATTTGATAATTATATATATGATGGTTAATCTAAAGGTCCTTGTAAGGAGTTTTAATTGCGAAAGCCGTGCATGTTATGTTGGAAACCCTCGCAAAAGTTTTTTTTTTCGAATTCGCGAAAGTAAAATTTTATTTCGCGAAAGTTTCGCGAAAGTTGGGTATTATAATCATTATATGTAAAGGGCTGCCACCCACTGCCGCCCGGGGTCCGGCAGGAGAAGGGCACCAGAGAATGCGAGTAGCAGTAGCCAAGTTTCCAAAAGTGAGGCTTTGCGAGAGCCAAACACCAAGGCCCCTGGTCTTCGCTTTTCCTTCAGTGCACCCCCTGCTGATGGCCGGGGTCTGTGAATAGGGATATTTTCGCGAAAGTTCCGCGAAAGTTATGCGAAAGAGCGGGCGAAAGTCAAAGTGCATGTTGAAGGGGGTGGGCCAGTAAACTTTGCAAAAAAAATATGTCCTGAGAAGGGATTCCGTGATGCTAGCTGCATGTTTAAAAGCCTACCAAGAAGTGATCCGTGATTCTCTGGCGTAATTTGGCAGGTGGTGAACGAATCTTCATAAGAGGTGTTGTTGGCCAACATGGGCCCCGCGAAAGATAAACATGGACTTCGCCAAAGTTTCGCGAAAGTAAAATTTTTATTCGCGAAGAATGGCCGTTCCCGGATAAAGGAGTTTTGATCAACAACCATATATATCCTTTATTTATTGGGTTTTCTCCTCATTGTGGATGCTGAAACAATTGTGTTTATCTCATAGTGACATTATGTCCGCAGTTTGATCAAGCATATACTGTAATACGCATTACAAGTGCAGAAATTGATAATCATCTCCCATGTTCCATGCCATCAGTCCTTTCATCCTGAAGGTTTGCGAGACTCCCTGCCCAACCAACAGAGACGGGGCGAGGTGCCGTGCAGCTTAGTCACAAGGTTAGGATCCACAATAGGAAACCATCACCCAATATCCACCATTTGTCATCAATTTATGGTTGACTATTGGGTGTACCATATTAAACTTGGGATACTTGGGATGATTTGTACTGGTACCCCCAAATGGTTGATGATTGGAATGATTTCTTGTGGATCCTTGTGGATTCCACATTCAGTCCATCTATCATAAAAATCCGAAGTTTTTGCGTGGGTTTTTTTTTGACCAGACAGACCAGACACTCAACGAAACCGACCATTCCCTTCCATTGCTTCCATTCGCTGGCCACGTCACGGAAGGTCTACAACCTCACCGTGCACCTTCTGCGATTGGTACGACCCCAGGTCAACCAGTCTGGGCCTCATCCCTGCGGCTGTTGGTTGACTGAGATTGATCTCTGGTGATGCAACCATTCGGCATATGGTTAGAGTGAGATCATTGGTATCATTGACTCATGGCTTAGCCTCTTTGGCTCCAAGGTTCAATGTCATATATGATTGGCTTTCCTCGTTGCGAACATCTCAACCAGGAAGATCAATTCACCAAGATCACCTGCAGCTGAGGCCCAAACGGGACAGATCGACCTCGAGACAAAGGCCCAGGCATGGGGACGAAAAGCCACAGCCAGGTGCCAACTGGGTGCGCTGGGTGTGTGCTCGATGGGCTGTGCAGGTGGGATCGGTAGAGAGCTGGTATCTCAGTGGGACAACTCTGTCCCAGTTTATTGTTCGGAAAGGTGTAAGGCCCTGTAAGGCCGCAACTGTGGTGGTTCATGATGCTTTCTCTTGATCTCGCCCTGCTAAAGTCAGAAGAGCTGCTGCTTGGCCTCTCGGTGCCATGCTGTCGCTGTCAGGTGATGGCGAGGAAGCTGCCGAAGCTCCAGCGAAGAAAAGGAAGGGTCCGAACCCAAGAGAGTTGACAATACTCTGATGGTGTGGACAACAGTGTTTTTGGGCTGAGATTGTTCAAGCTTCCCACATTTAATACTTTCTCCACATCGCAGCTCAACCCCAACCTATGTGTCGCAACATCCAATGCCTGCCCAGTGTAGTTGTTCTCGCCAAGGAATGCAGTGCCAAAAAAATCACCACGCACCAACATCCCATGGTAGTCCATCAAGATCTTCCAAATTTATCCAAATTTGAGCTAGCGGCAGTTGAGCAGTGTCCCACACTAGCACCTTCCCACCTTCCAATACTTTCCCTTTGTTTTATGGACCTTGCTTTGAGATCCTCTTCGGTGGAGGCGTGCATCCAAGTCCTTCCAGTCTGGGATTGAGGTGATGGCGAGGAAGCTGCCGAAGCTCCAGCGAAGAAGAGGAAAGGTTTGAGTCCTGGAGAGTTGGTGGATGAAGGGCTTCGCTATTTATATCACCATTGATGGGTAATTCTATACCCATTTTTTTATCCCCATGATGGAAATGATCATCCCCCATTGGATGAGTTTGGAGGCTTTAGACATTCTCAGGCATTCTCAGATGGCAGCTGGATGTCAGAAAGATGACCCCATTGATTTGTGGTGAGGTCGCGGCGGAAGCATAAGCCGATCTCCGTCCCTTCATCCGCAGTCTCCGGCGTCGGATTCCCAGTTTTACCAGTGGCAGCATGTTGCAGCCGTATGATATTTTTTCTTCAGAGGTGATGGTGACTGACACCACTGCTGATGAAGTTTCAGAACCTGCGGCTTGTGTACCAGGAAATACCAGGAATGAATTGACGCAGAATACACTGCGCCTGTTGCAATTGACACAGGGCACCTTGTCATGTTTCTGCAGGGGTCACACTGCAGGTCCAAGCCAAACCCAGCGCCGCTCAAAGAAAAGAGGCAGAGAGTCCTGTCGAAGAGCCTCAACAAAGCAGTGGAGTTCAAAAGGGTAACTTTTTGATACTTTTTGTCTGATTTGGTTGATAAAGGGTCAGTGCTCCGCTGCAGGCTGGGAAGGTGAAATGACGACAATGCTGACAATAGCTGACAATATTTGACAGTCTATTAACTTATTGTATACCTGCACTATATTTATACACACTGTATCCTGATATCCGAGATGTGTTAGAATTATTGGAAGCGGTCGTTTTTTCCATGCATTGCTCGTTTGAGGCGTAAGGCTCAAAAGAGCTGATCCTGCCTGAGCGAGAAAAGAGTGCGCGTCGCCATCCATGCTACCCATGGAGTCAGCAGCTTCTATGGATATAGTGAAGCAGAGAAAGGCAATACAGACAGACGTCTATATGAAATTCTTTTAGTGGCATTTTTTTTTGGCTGGAGCTACCATTACTTTAGCGATTATGGATTTCCGCAGCCTTTGATTGCTCGATATTGCTCGCATGCAGATCTTGGCCCAAAAATTGTGCTCGTGCTTACAGTATCTTACAGTTGCCTCCGAAGGGCCGAGGCATCTCGATTGGGGTTGCTTTTTCTTTGCGATTATACATCCTTGCATAGACATCGTTTTGGAGACGGCGCCCCTTATGGAGGACATTTATTTCGCATACTGTTTGTATTATGATACCAGCATCCAGTAGCTGTGTGTTTGCAACTTCATGACATACTCGTAAGAAAGGCTAGGCGAAGGCCCCCTGAGTATTTGGGTTTGGCAAAAGTACGAACCCTCCGGAAGTAGGATGTTTTACCATGAAACATGATCGGTTTGGTGTGTCCGGACAGGTCTGCAACAGCTATTGCAAGTCACTTGATCATGCAGACCAAACTTCTCGTTTCGCAGGTTGTCTCCCCAGCGCCATCCAGCGCTTTGTTTTGCGCCTCAGCGGGAGCGGGACATGCCCCAAGAGTCAACATGGGAAGACTGTCAAGGCTTTGATGAGTGTCACATTCACATGTTTGTTCAGCATAACCTTGAAGCAGTGGTTGGCCTTCATGCTACACCTCCCATTTTTGGATGGTGAATACTGTAATTATCATGGATTTTTGTGGTAGGATTGGATAGAATTGGGGCTGGTTTAGACTCCAAGAGCATCACTGGGCACTGAGGACTAGGCTCCCGCTAGTTTCGGATCGAAAGATTCAGCGCTCTTTGCTCGCTCTTTGCAGTGCCTCGATGGAATCCAAAATCATGGCCGACGAAGAGGAGGTGGCCCCGCCGATTCCCAAACTGGCAGCATCCCATTGTGCACTTTCTGGCTATATTGGCTGTAGATGTTGCGGCGCTTGCTGCCTCGCTTTCCTATGTTTGCTTGCTACAGCTGCAAGTATCTCCTTCATCTACACCTTTGGGAAGTCTGAGAGTGGCAGGGCTGGTGACTTTCCCAGAGCTATGTGCAACCCTGTGACGTCGCCCTGCAACACTGAAACGGGCTGGGAGTGTCGGGTTCTTGGCGGCTGCGTCTATGGCCCGGCAGTTGGGAAAATGAGTACAAACCAACTCTCGCTCTTCTACCGAGCGGAATCTCGCATTTGCTGGTGAGTTCTTTTCCCAGCTGGTTAGTTCCGCCCAAAATGGGGAAGTTGTCTTTCCCCACCTGCCAGGTGAGGGTCTCTAGATTTTATCAGAGTTACTTGCTCCTCCTCCTCGTCCTCCTCCTCCCAACAGCGAGCTCCAGATCTCAGTGGGTACTGCCGGACCTCAACCGCAAGTTCCAGATCACAGTGGGCACTGCCGGACTTCAACCGCGAGTGCTCCGGATCTCAGTGGGCATTGCCGGGCCCCAACTGCGAGCTCCAGATCTCAGTGGGCAGTGCCCACTGAGATGTTACTCTGCGGTTGAGGTCCGGCAGCGCCCATGATGTGAGAGAATGTCAAGATTTATGCCAGATAGAATGACAGAATAGCATGTCAGATAGAATGGCAGAATTCAATGTCAGAATAGATGCTAGGTAGAGTGCCAAACTAGAATGTTGGATAGAATGCACTGATGTCAGAAAGAATGTGAGAGAGAGAGAGAGATGCCAGAAAGAATGTCAGCATATGCTCGAAAGTATGTCAGAACAGATGCCAGATAGAATGCTAGAAAGAATGTCAGAGTATGCTATTGCTATGCCAGTGCCAGTCTTATCAGACATCAGAATTATATATTTCCAGATGATATGTCAGAAGCTATGTCAGAATAGTTGTCAGGGCGGGGGTCGCTTGAAGGAAAGTGTTTTTTCCTCTCCAGCGACCTAAGACATTGCCAGACGCACATCCAAGGAATGTGGTCAGTTCCAGAACGGATCGGTTACAAACTATGTGCAGACGGTGTCTTTTGATCCGGCCCGGAGAGTGGCACCCTGCGATGTTTCCGAATTGAGTCAGATCATGTCTGAGGCAAAAACTGAAGGCATCAAAGTGAAAGCAGTGGGTGGCTGTGCCTCTTTGGAGGCTGTGGCAACCACCCATGGAGTATTAATTGAGACTTACAAGCTGACATCCATTGAGGAAGAAATGAGACAGATCAATGGCAAACGTGCCTTCTGGCTGGGAGCTGGTGTAACAGTCTCACAGGCCATCGAATATCTGAGAGAGCAGAATATGGCCCTCGCAGACAATGGAGGATGGACTGGACAGACCATCGTGGGTGCTGTAATGACCGGTACACACGGGAGCGATCTGAACTTTCCGCCCAATTCGGATTTCATCCGTGCCATTCATTTTGTGATGAGCGATGGGAGGCAGTATGTTTTTGAACCCAAGGGCGGCAGATTCCAGCAGGGTGATTTCGGGAACGAGGTCACTTTGGTCCAGGATGATGATGAGTTCTATTCTTCCGTGGTGACTGTTGGAAGTTTGGGAGTTGTGGTGCGGATCCTCTTTGAGCCCTTGCCATATTACTATGTTTTCCAGAAAGTCGTGAAGAGCACGGTGCCCAAACTGCTGGCAGGGGAGCTGGATGAATTCCGGGCGGAGTATGAGAATATCAACATTGTCATCAATCCATTCAATTCTGAGGTGGGCAGTTTCAAAAACCCTGGTCAGTTGATGGTCAACTGGGGGGCTTGTTTTGGGCCCTGTTTTAATACCAGGTTATACCGTATTACCAGGTCCTTGAACATGGGTCAGGTCACAGCCTCTGTTCGGAAGAGGTTTGCTGGCAGCTTCGACAATAGTCAAAGTGTCTTGGAGAATGCCCGGCGTGTGTTGGGCCTCTCCAATCTGAGTCTTGTAGACGAGGTTGACCTTGATGTCATGAAGACTCGAGCTCTTGCTTCCTTTGGCTTCCGCAATGTTGGGGAACTCATCAATGAAGCCATTCAGCTGGTGGCCAAAAAGGTGATTCCCAGAGCAGACGCCGAGCGGCTCACAGGGTTCTTCCTGAATAGCTTGGAACAAACTTCAGATGGGATCTTTCTGCCTCCCGTGAGTCTCTCCTCTGGGCTCATCAGCACCAGTCCTGTTGGCTCTTTGGGGACTGAAATCATTATCCCTGAAGTGGACCTGGAGGAATTTGTGAACCAAACTGTCACATCTATCCATCGTGGCTTGCAAGAAAATCCTCAGCCATTGATTCTGTCCCTGCGCTTCGTAGCTTCGACTTGAAGATTATGTTTTTTCATTTCACAACTGGTTCATCCACCAAAAGTTGGTGAATCTTCTGGGACGTTTTTTCACATTTCGTATTTAGGCTTACGGACCCCGATCCCCAACACGCTGCATTTTTTTCCAGGTCCCCTAAAAATGGTGCAACTCCAAGGTAGGCAAGTCCCAGCACAAGCTGGCCGCTTCGTTTGACCGCCAGAGTGTTGCCATGGAAATTCTGGGTCTTGGTTCCACAGCCACAGTGGCGCGCTGGGCCAAAGAGATGAAAGAGGCATTTCCACGGTCGCGCATGCACTGGGGTCTGCAGCAGTATGGACTGGTTGATGCTGAATATGTGCAGGCCAGATATGCTGAGGGCTTTGAGCAGTTGCAGCTGATGATTGAAAAGTATGACCCTGAGGGTCTTATGAAGACCCCCTATGTACAGCAGGTGTTATCTGCATGAATTTGTCGATTAATATAGTCGATTGAGGACTGTGTATAGTCTGACCCTTCAAATGAAGAGCAGGTGTTTCCTGCAGGAACTTCTGGATTCTAGCTGATTGAGGGCCGTCAGCAGTCTGACCGGACTTCGCGAGACCTTCAATGTATAGCAGGAGCTTTCTGCGGGAACTTTTCGACTGTCGTTGAAGGCTTTGTGCAGTCTGGCTTGACTTTGGAAGACCCTCAAATATCTCAAATGGATTCAAATGGAATTTTCTGCAGTTCCTTTTTGATTCTATAGTCGATTGAGGCCTGTGGCCTGTGTGCAGTCTGGCCGGACTTCGCGAGACTTTCAAATGTATAGGAGGAGTTGTCTGCGGGAACTTTTCGAGTGTCATTGAGGAAAGTGTGCAGTCTGACCCCTTCAAATGGAGTGCACGTGTTTCCTGCACGAGACCTTCAAATCGTTCAAATGTATAGCAGGAGTTTTCTGCAGGACTTTTTTGATTCTGGTCGATTGAGGCCTGTGGCCTGTGTGCAGTCTGACCGGATTTCAAGAGACTTTCAAATGTATAGCAGCATATAGCAGCTGCACATTTGTTTCTCAGGAACTTTTCTCGTTGATTGAGGGCCTTGTGCAGTCTGACCGGGCTTCGCAAGACCTTCAAATGATTTCAAATGTATAGCAGGTTTCTGCAGGAACTACTCGATTGTAGTTGATTGAGGGCTGTGTGCAGTTTGATGCCCTGTTCTCCTGAAAAAGGAGAGAGGGAATCGCCATGCAGGTACAGGTCGCGGGCAATCGATTCACATTTGCTATGAAAACCAGTGCGGGGAGGTAGCACAGAAGTCGGATGAGATGAACGAGCGATGTCTCATGAATCTGATGGCTTTTAAAGATTCGTCAGGCTTAGGACGTGCCCAACAGCAGGTTTCATTGCCACCCAAGGTTTACATCCCTCATTTTTGAGGCCTTCCAAGCGGCGGTGCTCAGGCGACGCGGCTTTTTCTGGAAGTTGGGCCCCCAAAAGTATTTTTCAAAAATCCACAGTTTTATTCCCCAAACAGTTTGTCCATACTGATGGGTTCTTTCGGTAGGTGTAAAAGGCCGCGTTAGATCAGGGTGCTCCATCTGGGCTCCGGCTTTTTCATTGTAAATTCTCGCGGAAAAGTTTCCTTGTGACATGTCCATGTGCATTTCGACCGCGCACGCTGGCACAAAATGTATCAAAATGTGCTTTTGGCTCTTCCGAAGGCGTAGACTTTTACCAGCGCGCCGTTGCTTGTTTTTTAAGCTATATGAATATGATATGTCCATTTTGTGTGGCAGGTGTGGCACGGCACTTTCGGGACATTTTGAGGTCTGGAGCGTTGTTTTATGTGGCAGGTGCAGGACATCGGGAAGGTTTCATCCGTGTGGTGTTAAAACGCAGGCAGATCAAAATTGGAGGCGGTTTTGGAGGTCCTTTTTCGCGGCAGATGCAGAACTTAGAGGATTTTTCAAAGGGTGGACAGTTGCGTGTTGTTAAATTGTCGTCATTTTTGATTTGGGACGTGATGATCAATTCCGTGTGGCATCGGGTGCCTCGGATTCATTTTTGTGGCAGGCGCAGTAGACCTCGACCAAAAGTGCCCGAAACACAGGTAAATAGCATCGTGTTTGATATTTTCAATGCTCATGTTTCATGGTGCGCGCAATTTTGGTGAAAATCTAACATGTCCTCCATAACCTTCTCTTGTCGGATCACTCTCGTTGATTTTGATATCGCTCCCGTAACCTTCTCGCGCATGTCGTATCGCCCTTGTTGTGGGGCGGTGCTGATTTAGCTGCTTCCCTGAGATCACGGTAAAAAGATGTAAAAAGATCTTCTGGGTTCTTTGGAAGGTCCTACATGACGATCTTGCAAAAGTTGTATGGTGCCGTCTTAGCGTTCCGTGATATATGAAGATCATGACCAAGGCCTTGTAGAGGTCCTTGTGAGCAAATGTTGTGGAGATCCGGATGAAACCCTGTCAATGGCCCTTGCATGATCCTAAGAGCTTGGGCAGATCCTGCTGGAATCTTCTAAGGGGTCCTTCCATAATCTTGCACAGGTCCTTATGAGAAGATCTGTGGAGATCCTCATCAAGTCCTCTCCAAGAGATCCTTGCATGATCTTGTACAGGTTCTTGTGGCGATCCTGGTAAGATCCTCTTATATCCTCTCTAACAGGTCCTTGCATGAAGATCTTGCAGATGCCATGTGTTAGAGGTGCTTGCATAAAAGCTCTTCTGAAGATCTTGTAAGAGCCTCTCCAGCAGCAGCAACAGCAGCAGCAGCAGCAGCAGGTCCTTTTATGAGGATCTTGTTAGGGTCCTGGCATAAAAAGGGTCTTTTGCAATTCCTTGTGAGAAGATCTTGTAGAGATCCCGGCATGATCTTGCACAGGTCCTCGTGAGAAGACCTTGTGGAGATAGTGACATGCTGCTAGAGGCCTTTGCAAGATCTTGTGCAGCTGGTATGATGTTCTGGTATGAGGTCCCGATGAGTAGACATAGCGGTGCTTCCTGTGCCAAAACAAGCTCCTGCTTCTGCAGCTCCGATAACGTCTAACCAGATTTGTTGCTGTTCCATCGCTACTGTTGCTTGTTTCTGGTACATTGACTTCCTGCCCCCCCGATCTGTTTGGGGCCTCTTGCCGGTGTAAATTATGGAAACCATGATTTGGCACCCCTACGTTATTGGAAACCCTAACTTAACTGTTTTTTGAGATTTTTTGAGTGGATGTGTATTTTGAAAAGGGTTCACACGGCATCACGTGCTTCAGACAGAGCACGCAGGTTGGATAACGAATGGAAATTATTTTGCAAAACCAAAATGCAAAGCAACTAGTTTTGCCAAATGAGTTTGATTGAGTTTGAATGTATTTTTTTTGGCCAATTAAACTTATTTCCCGTCAACCGAGCCGGTACAGTGCCCGGTACAGCCACTTCTGGAGAGACAGGATGGGAACCAGATCACATCATGTACAACACCGGCCAAAATTTTATAGATCATGTCACATGTCCTAAAGTTTTCAGTTTGGATCCGTAGGTTTAGACTCCAAGAGCATCACTGGGCACTGAGGACTAGGCTCCCGCTAGTTTCGGATCGAAAGATTCAGCGCTCTTTGCTCGCTCTTTTCAGTGCCTCGATGGAATCCAAAATCATGGCCGACGAAGAGGAGGTGGCCCCGCCGATTCCCAAACTGGCAGCATCCCATTGTGCACTTTCTGGCTATATTGGCTGTAGATGTTGCGGCGCTTGCTGCCTCGCTTTCCTATGTTTGCTTGCTACAGCTGCAAGTATCTCCTTCATCTACACCTTTGGGAAGTCTGAGTGTGGCAGGGCTGGTGACTTTCCCAGAGCTATGTGCAACCCTGTGACGTCGCCCTGCAACACTGAAACGGGCTGGGAGTGTCGGGTTCTTGGCGGCTGCGTCTATGGCCCGGCAGTTGGGAAAATGAGTACAAACCAACTCTCGCTCTTCTACCGAGCGGAATCTCGCATTTGCTGGTGAGTTCTTTTCCCAGCTGGTTAGTTCCGCCCAAAATGGGGAAGTTGTCTTTCCCCACCTGCCAGGTGAGGGTCTCTAGATTTTATCAGAGTTACTTGCTCCTCCTCCTCGTCCTCCTCCTCCCAACAGCGAGCTCCAGATCTCAGTGGGTACTGCCGGACCTCAACCACAAGTTCCAGATCACAGTGGGCACTGCCGGACTTCAACCGCGAGTGCTCCGGATCTCAGTGGGCATTGCCGGGCCCCAACTGCGAGCTCCAGATCTCAGTGGGCAGTGCCCACTGAGATGTTACTCTGCGGTTGAGGTCCGGCAGCGCCCATGATGTGAGAGAATGTCAAGATTTATGCCAGATAGAATGACAGAATAGCATGTCAGATAGAATGGCAGAATTCAATGTCAGAATAGATGCTAGGTAGAGTGCCAAACTAGAATGTTGGATAGAATGCACTGATGTCAGAAAGAATGTGAGAGAGAGAGAGAGATGCCAGAAAGAATGTCAGCATATGCTCGAAAGTATGTCAGAACAGATGCCAGATAGAATGCTAGAAAGAATGTCAGAGTATGCTATTGCTATGCCAGTGCCAGTCTTATCAGACATCAGAATTATATATTTCCAGATGATATGTCAGAAGCTATGTCAGAATAGTTGTCAGGGCGGGGGTCGCTTGAAGGAAAGTGTTTTTTCCTCTCCAGCGACCTAAGACATTGCCAGACGCACATCCAAGGAATGTGGTCAGTTCCAGAACGGATCGGTTACAAACTATGTGCAGACGGTGTCTTTTGATCCGGCCCGGAGAGTGGCACCCTGCGATGTTTCCGAATTGAGTCAGATCATGTCTGAGGCAAAAACTGAAGGCATCAAAGTGAAAGCAGTGGGTGGCTGTGCCTCTTTGGAGGCTGTGGCAACCACCCATGGAGTATTAATTGAGACTTACAAGCTGACATCCATTGAGGAAGAAATGAGACAGATCAATGGCAAACGTGCCTTCTGGCTGGGAGCTGGTGTAACAGTCTCACAGGCCATCGAATATCTGAGAGAGCAGAATATGGCCCTCGCAGACAATGGAGGATGGACTGGACAGACCATCGTGGGTGCTGTAATGACCGGTACACACGGGAGCGATCTGAACTTTCCGCCCAATTCGGATTTCATCCGTGCCATTCATTTTGTGATGAGCGATGGGAGGCAGTATGTTTTTGAACCCAAGGGCGGCAGATTCCAGCAGGGTGATTTCGGGAACGAGGTCACTTTGGTCCAGGATGATGATGAGTTCTATTCTTCCGTGGTGACTGTTGGAAGTTTGGGAGTTGTGGTGCGGATCCTCTTTGAGCCCTTGCCATATTACTATGTTTTCCAGAAAGTCGTGAAGAGCACGGTGCCCAAACTGCTGGCAGGGGAGCTGGATGAATTCCGGGCGGAGTATGAGAATATCAACATTGTCATCAATCCATTCAATTCTGAGGTGGGCAGTTTCAAAAACCCTGGTCAGTTGATGGTCAACTGGGGGGCTTGTTTTGGGCCCTGTTTTAATACCAGGTTATACCGTATTACCAGGTCCTTGAACATGGGTCAGGTCACAGCCTCTGTTCGGAAGAGGTTTGCTGGCAGCTTCGACAATAGTCAAAGTGTCTTGGAGAATGCCCGGCGTGTGTTGGGCCTCTCCAATCTGAGTCTTGTAGACGAGGTTGACCTTGATGTCATGAAGACTCGAGCTCTTGCTTCCTTTGGCTTCCGCAATGTTGGGGAACTCATCAATGAAGCCATTCAGCTGGTGGCCAAAAAGGTGATTCCCAGAGCAGACGCCGAGCGGCTCACAGGGTTCTTCCTGAATAGCTTGGAACAAACTTCAGATGGGATCTTTCTGCCTCCCATCTTCTCCTTCTCCTCTGGGCTCATCAGCACCAGTCCTGTTGGCTCTTTGGGGACTGAAATCATTGTCCCTGAAGTGGACCTGGAGGAATTTGTGAACCAAACTGTCACATCTATCCATCGTGGCTTGCAAGAAAATCCTCAGCCATTGATTCTGTCCCTGCGCTTCGTAGCTTCGACTTGAAGATTATGTTTTTTCATTCGCCAACTGGTTCATCCACCAAAAGTTGGTGAATCTTCTGGGACGTTTTTTCACATTTCGTATTTAGGCTTACGGACCCCGATCCCCAACACGCTGCATTTTTTTCCAGGTCCCCTAAAAATGGTGCAACTCCAAGGTAGGCAAGTCCCAGCACAAGCTGGCCGCTTCGTTTGACCACCAGAGTGTTGCCATGGAAATTCTGGGTCTTGGTTCCACAGCCACAGTGGCGCGCTGGGCCAAAGAGATGAAAGAGGCATTTCCACGGTCGCGCATGCACTGGGGTCTGCAGCAGTATGGGCTGGTTGATGCTGAATATGTGCAGGCCAGATATGCTGAGGGCTTTGAGCAGTTGCAGCTGATGATTGAAAAGTATGACCCTGAGGGTCTTATGAAGACCCCCTATGTACAGCAGGTGTTATCTGCATGAATTTGTCGATTAATATAGTCGATTGAGGACTGTGTATAGTCTGACCCTTCAAATGAAGAGCAGGTGTTTTCTGCAGGAACTTCTGGATTCTAGCTGATTGAGGGCCGTCAGCAGTCTGACCGGACTTCGCGAGACCTTCAATGTATAGCAGGAGCTTTCTGCGGGAACTTTTCGACTGTCGTTGAAGGCTTTGTGCAGTCTGGCTTGACTTTGGAAGACCCTCAAATATCTCAAATGGATTCAAATGGAATTTTCTGCAGTTCCTTTTTGATTCTATAGTCGATTGAGGCCTGTGGCCTCTGTGCAGTCTGGCCGGACTTCGCGAGACCTTCAAATGTATAGGAGGAGTTGTCTGCGGGAACTTTTCGATTGTCATTGAGGAAAGTGTGCAGTCTGACCCCTTCAAATGGAGTGCACGTGTTTCCTGCACGAGACCTTCAAATGTATAGCAGGAGTTTTCTGCAGGACTTTTTTGATTCTGGTCGATTGAGGCCTGTGGCCTGTGTGCAGTCTGACCGGATTTCAAGAGACTTTCAAATGTATAGCAGCATATAGCAGCTGCACATTTGTTTCTCAGGAACTTTTCTTGTTGATTGAGGGCCTTGTGCAGTCTGACCGGGCTTCGCAAGACCTTCAAATGATTTCAAATGTATAGCAGGTTTCTGCAGGAACTACTCGATTGTAGTTGATTGAGGGCTGTGTGCAGTTTGATGCCCTGTTCTGCTGAAAAAGGAGAGAGGGAATCGCCATGCAGGTACAGGTCGCGGGCAATCGATTCACATTTGCTATGAAAACCAGTGCGGGGAGGTAGCACAGAAGTCGGATGAGATGAACGAGCGATGTCTCATGAATCTGATGGCTTTTAAAGATTCGTCAGGCTTAGGACGTGCCCAACAGCAGGTTTCATTGCCACCCAAGGTTTACATCCCTCATTTTTGAGGCCTTCCAAGCGGCGGTGCTCAGGCGACGCGGCTTTTTCTGGAAGTTGGGCCCCCAAAAGTATTTTTCAAAAATCCACAGTTTTATTCCCCAAACAGTTTGTCCATACTGATGGGTTCTTTCGGTAGGTGTAAAAGGCCGCGTTAGATCAGGGTGCTCCATCTGGGCTCCGGCTTTTTCATTGTAAATTCTCGCGGAAAAGTTTCCTTGTGACATGTCCATGTGCATTTCGACCGCGCACGCTGGCACAAAATGTATCAAAATGTGCTTGCGGCTCTTCCGAAGGCGTAGACTTTTACCAGCGCGCCGTTGCTTGTTTTTTAAGCTATAATAAGCTATATGAATATGATATGTCCATTTTGTGTGGCAGGTGTGGCACGGCACTTTCGGGACATTTTGAGGTCTGGAGCGTTGTTTTATGTGGCAGGTGCAGGACATCGGGAAGGTTTCATCCGTGTGGTGCTAAAACGCAGGCAGATCAAAATTGGAGGCGGTTTTGGAGGTCCTTTTTCGCGGCAGATGCAGAACTTAGAGGATTTTTCAAAGGGTGGACAGTTGCGTGTTGTGAAATTGTCGTCATTTTTGATTTGGGACATGATGATCAATTCCGTGTGGCATCGGGTGCCTCGGATTCATTTTTGTGGCAGGCGCAGTAGACCTCGACCAAAAGTGCCCGAAACACAGGTAAATAGCATCGTGTTTGATATTTTCAATGCTCATGTTTCATGGTGCGCGCAATTTTGGTGAAAATCTAACATGTCCTCCATAACCTTCTCTTGTCGGATCACTCTCGTTGATTTTGATATCGCTCCCGTAACCTTCTCGCGCATGTCGTATCGCCCTTGTTGTGGGGCGGTGCTGATTTAGCTGCTTCCCTGAGATCACGGTAAAAAGACGTAAAAAGATCTTCTGGGTTCTTTGGAAGGTCCTATATGACGATCTTGCAAAAGTTGTATGGTGCCGTCTTAGCGTTCCGTGATATATGAAGATCATGACCAAGGCCTTGTAGAGGTCCTTGTGAGCAAATGTTGTGGAGATCCGGATGAAACCCTGTCAATGGCCCTTGCATGATCCTAAGAGCTTGGGCAGATCCTGCTGGAATCTTCTAAGGGGTCCTTCCATAATCTTGCACAGGTCCTTATGAGAAGATCTGTGGAGATCCTCATCAAGTCCTCTCCAAGAGATCCTTGCATGATCTTGTACAGGTTCTTGTGGCGATCCTGGTAAGATCCTCTTATATCCTCTCTAACAGGTCCTTGCATGAAGATCTTGCAGATGCCATGTGTTAGAGGTGCTTGCATAAAAGCTCTTCTGAAGATCTTGTAAGAGCCTCTCCAGCAGCAGCAACAGCAGCAGCAGCAGCAGCAGGTCCTTTTATGAGGATCTTGTTAGGGTCCTGGCATAAAAAGGGTCTTTTGCAATTCCTTGTGAGAAGATCTTGTAGAGATCCCGGCATGATCTTGCACAGGTCCTCGTGAGAAGACCTTGTGGAGATAGTGACATGCTGCTAGAGGCCTTTGCAAGATCTTGTGCAGCTGGTATGATGTTCTGGTATGAGGTCCCGATGAGTAGACATAGCGGTGCTTCCTGTGCCAAAACAAGCTCCTGCTTCTGCAGCTCCGATAACGTCTAACCAGATTTGTTGCTGTTCCATCGCTACTGTTGCTTGTTTCTGGTACATTGACTTCCTGCCCCCCCGATCTGTTTGGGGCCTCTTGCCGGTGTAAATTATGGAAACCATGATTTGGCACCCCTACGTTATTGGAAACCCTAACTTAACTGTTTTTTGAGATTTTTTGAGTGGATGTGTATTTTGAAAAGGATTCACACTGCATCACGTGCTTCAGACAGAGCACGCAGGTTGGATAACGAATGGAAATTATTTTGCAAAACCAAAATGCAAAGCAACTAGTTTTGCCAAATGAGTTTGATTGAGTTTGAATGTATTTTTTTTGGCCAATTAAACTTATTTCCCGTCAACCGAGCCGGTACAGTGCCCGGTACAGCCACTTCTGGAGAGACAGGATGGGAACCAGATCACATCATGCACAACACCGGCCAAAATTTTATAGATCATGTCACATGTCCTAAAGTTTTCAGTTTGGATCCGTAATGACTGGTTAAACTGGAAAGGTCCCCTTTATAAAGGGAACAACAACATTTTTGGGGGTAAATCCGAGAAAATCAGCCGGGGTTTATTTATCCGGGGTTGACATTAGGTGTTTCGGCCTTGGTTCTACCATTGCTTGCTGTATTTGGGTCGCAACGTTTTGTTTTGAAGATGGAGTCTCTGATTCTCCACCTGAATTTCGGGCCAGGCCACCTCCAGGACCTTAGGCATCCTCGGCAATTCGGGTGTTCAGGTGCTTTGGCTGAAGGTTTTTGTTCCAATGCTCAGCACGCTCAGATTGGTTTATGAGCGCCATTCTTTTGCAAGATATGAAGGATTACATAGAATTACACATCACGGGCCTCAAGAAAGCAGTGGAGTTCAAAAGGGCAACTGTTTGGCTGATTTGGTTGATACAGGGTCAGTGCTGCGCTGCAGGCTGGGAAGGTGACATGACAACAATGCTGACAATATCTGACACTACGTGACAATTCTGTCTATTAAATATTCTGATTCTCTATTAATTATACATGTATATATACGTATATATATATATACTATGGTATACTATAATATACTGATATCTGATATGAGTTAGAATCATTAGAAGCGGTCGTTTTTTCCATGCATTGCTCGTTTGGGGCGTAAGGCTCAAAAGAGCTGATCCTGCCTGAGCGAGAAAAGAGTGCGCGTTGCCATCCATGTTACCCGTGGAGTCAGCAGCTTCTGTAGATATGGTGAGGCAGAGAAACGCAATACAGGCAGACGTCTATGTTAAGTTCTTTTAGTGGCAAAATTTGTTTCCTGGAGCTACCATTACCTTAGCGATCATAGATTTCCGCAGCCTTTGATTGCTCGATATTGCTCGCATGCAGATCTTGGCCCAAAAATTGTCCTTGTGCTTAAAGTCGCTTCCAAAGGGCCAAGGCATCTCCATTGCATTGGGTTGCCTTTTTAGACACGTTTTTTTAAACAATCCGCATACTGTTTGCATTGTGATATCAGTAGCATCCAGTAGCCGCGTGTTTGCGACATACATGGCATAAGAAAGGCTGGGCGAAGGCCCCTAGGTATTTGGGTATGGCTCAAAAGTACGGACCCTTCCCAAAGTAGGGTGGTTCCAGAAAGATCTCCCATGTTGTGCCGCCGCAGCCCTTGCAAGTCACTTGATCATGCAGACGAAACTTTCCGTTTTGCAGGCGCTTTCCCTAGCGCTTCGGTGTACGCCTCAGGGAAAAGTGCGAAGGCTTTGATGACTGTCCTGTAGCTGCCACATTGACATGTTTTTCAGCACAAGATTGAAGCAGTGATTGGCCCTCATGCTAAACCTCCAATTTTTGGATGGTGAATATCACCCATGTTATGGATTTTTGTGGTAGAATTGGATAGAATTGGGGCTGGCTTAGACTCCAAGAGCATCACTAAGCACTCAGGAACAGGTGCCCACAGGTTTCGGATCAAAAGATTGAGCAGACGCCGTGGCTCGATGGCCGATGAAGAGCAGGCTGAGCAGTCGACCCCGCTGGTTCCCAAACTTGGAGTAGCCGATTGTGCACTTTGTGGCTATATTGGCTGTAAATGTTGCTGCTTTTGCTGCCTTGCTTTCCTTTGTTTGCTTGCTACAGCTGCAAGTATCTCCTTCATCTACACCTTTGGGAAATCTGAGTGTGGCAGGGCTGGTGACTTTCCCAGAGCTATGTGCAACCCTGTGACGTCGCCCTGCAACGCTTCAACGGGCTGGGAGTGTCGGCTTCTTGGCGGCTGTGTCTATGGCCCGGCAGTTGGGAAAATGAGTACAAACCAACTCTCGCTCTTCTACCGAGCGGAATCTCGCATTTACTGGTGAGTTCTTTTCCCAGCTGGTTGCATCCACCCAAAATGGAGAAGGTGTTTTCTTTTCTCGAGGGGATGCAAGACATCGCAAGACGCACATCCAAGGAATGTGGTCAGTTCCAGAATGGATCGATTACAAACTATGTGCAGACGGTGTCTTTTGATCCTGCGCGGAGAGTTGCCCCTTGCGAGGTTTCGAAACTGAGTCAGATCATGTCTGAGGCAAAAGCTGAAGGCATCAAAGTGAAAGCAGTGGGTGGCTGTGCCTCTATGGAGGCTGTGGCAACCACCCATGGAGTATTAATTGAGACTTACAAGCTGACATCCATTGAGGAAGAAAAGAGACAGATCAATGGCAAACGTGCCTTCTGGCTGGGAGCTGGTGTCACAGTCTCACAGGCCATCGAATATCTGAGAGAACAGAATATGGCCCTCGCAGACAATGGAGGATGGACTGGACAGACCATCGTGGGTGCTGTAATGACCGGTACACACGGGAGCGATCTGAACTTTCCGCCCAATTCGGATTTCATCCGTGCCATTCATTTTGTGATGAGCGATGGGAGGCAGTATGTTTTTGAACCCAAGGGCGGCAGATTCCAGCAGGGTGATTTCGGGAACGAGGTCACTTTGGTCCAGGATGATGATGAGTTCTATTCTTCCGTGGTGACTGTTGGAAGTTTGGGAGTTGTGGTGCGGATCCTCTTTGAGCCCTTGCCATATTACTATGTTTTCCAGAAAGTCGTGAAGAGCACGGTGCCCAAACTGCTGGCAGGGGAGCTGGATGAATTCCGGGCGGAGCATGAGAATATCAACCTTGTCATCAATGCATACAATTTTGAGGTGAGCAGTTTCAAAAACCCTGGTTGGTTGATGGTTAACATGGGGACTCTTATATATACGTATATATATATATATATACATTTTTTTCCACACATAAACAAACAAACAAATATATACTAGATACATATATATATATATATAATGAATATACATAATATATTATCGTATATTATATTGTGGTATATTATATCATGATATAATATATATATACACATATTATATTATATTATATTATATTATATAATATATATTATATTATATTATATTATAGTATATTATATTATAATATATATTATATTATATTATATTATGCTATATAATATTATATATTATATTAAATTATATTATGCTATATTATATTATATTATATATTATATTATATTATATATTATATTATATTATACTATATTATATTATATTATATTTATACTATACTATATTATATCATATTATAATATTATATTATATTATATTATATTATGCTATATTATATTATATTATATCATATTATATTATATTAGATTATATTATATCATATCATATCATATCACTATATATATATATATATACGCCTATTTCATCGCGAGTTTAGGCCTGTTTTAATACCAGGTTTTGAACATGCTCAGGTCACAGTCTTTGTACGGAAGAGATTCCCTGGCAGTTTCAATGAGAGTCAGAGTGTCTTGGAGAATGCTCGTCGCGTGTTGGGTCTCTCCAATCTGAGTCTTGTAGACGAGGTTCATCTTGATGCCATGAAGACTTCAGCTCTTGTTTCCTTTGGCTTCCGAAATGTGGGGGAACTCATCAATGAAGCCATTCAGCTGGTGGCCGAAAAGGTGGTTCCCAGAGCGGACGCTGAGCGGTTCACAGCCTTCTTCCAGAACAGCTTGGAACAAGCCTCGGATGGCATCTTTCTGCCTCCCATCTTCACCTTCTCCCCTGGGCTCACCACCTACGTTCCTTACGGCTCTTTGGGGGCTGAAATCAATGTCCCGGCAGATGACCTGGAGGAATTTGTGAACCAAACTGTCACATCTATCCATCGTGGCCTGCAAGAAAATCCTCAGCCATTGATTCTGTCCCTGCGCTTCGTAGCTTCGACTTGAAGATGATGTTTTTTCATTTCACAACTGGTTCATCCACCAAGAGTTGGGGAAGCTTCTGGGACATTTTTTCACATTTTTCCAGGTCCCCTAAAAATGGTGCAAGTCCAAGGTAGGCAAGTCCCAGCACAAGCTGGCCGCTTCTTTCGACCGCCAGAGTGTTGCCATAGAAATCCTGGGTCTTGGTTCCACAGCCACAGTGGCGCGCTGGGCCAAAGAGATGAAAGAGGCATTTCCACGGTCGCGCATGCACTGGGGTCTGCAGCAGTATGGACTGGTTGATGCTGAATATGTGCAGGCCAGATATGCTGAGGGCTTTGAGCAGTTGCAGCTGATGTTTGAAAAGTATGACCCTGAGGGTCTTATGAAGACCCCCTATGTACAGCAGGTGTTATCTGCATGAATTTGTCGATGTCGATTGAGGACTGTGTATAGTCTGACCCTTCAAATGGAGAGCAGGTGCTTTCTGCAGGAACTTTTGGATTCTAGCTGATTGAGGGCCGTGAGCCGTCTGACCGGACGTCGCCAGACCTTCAATGTATAGCAGGAGTTTTCTGCGGGGACTTTTCGATTGTAGTTGATTGAGGCCTGTGGCCTGTGTGGATTCTGCAGGAACTTTTTGATATTTTTTGATTGTATTTGATAGCCCTGTTCTCTCGCCAGTAGGTACAGGAGCGGGCAATCGATTCACATTTGCTATGAAAATCAGTGCGAGGAGGTAGCACAGAAGTCAAATGAGCAGCGATCAAAACCCACCAAGACTAAATAGGACTAAATTAGCCAGAGTTGTCTATTACAACACCTTCGCGGAAGCTGAAACTGCAGTCGCAGAAGCATGCGGAAGCACCGAAAGGTCTCGCGGAAGTAAGTATACTCAGTCCCTTTGCAGAAGCTCCGCGGAAACGCTTGTGCATAGACGGATCGTCGCGGAAGCTCCGCGGAAGTGCCAGCCATCGCACATCTCACCGCGGAAGCCAGAACGCAAGCTGCGGAAGCCCTGGCCGAAAAGAATAGGAGTTGACAGGAATCGTCAGAGGGTTTTGAACACTGCTAAAATGAGATAAATGAGCGGTTTCAAAGGAGTTCTTCCCTGAGATCCTGAGGTTTTTCAAAAGATTTGCCCGCCTGTGGCTTCGTTAGTCAATGTAGCTTAGGACGTGCCCAACAGCAGGTTTCATTGCCACATATTGCCGCCAAAGGTTTACATCTCCCATTTGAGGCCTGGTGCTCAGGCGACGTGGCTTTTCCTGGAAGTTGGGGGCCCCTAAACGTATCTCAAAATTAAGATTTTTCCTTAAAGATGACTGTTACTGTAATTATAAGAGGCAGTCAGGCCTTATTTGTTGCTCGATCCTGCTCACCCTGGAACAGTGGATCAGGTGCAACGCCGGGAAGTCCTTACGTCGTTCGCGGGGCATCTCAGGGGTTTGAAAAAGGGCTGCGATGTTTCAAGTTTCCAAAGAAGAGTACGATGAGTAGAAATTTAGAAACTAAAGAGTTTCCATATTTAGGTGGCATTTCTTTGCCTACGGGCCTGCTTGGACGGAAGAAGAATCTGCTGAGCCGCGGAGCCGCAATGTCTTTGTTTGTCTTGACTCAGGTGCTGTTGGATTTGACTTGTACCACCAATCATGAGTGCTGTTCTGTCCGGCAAAATCGCGTGGAACTGCAAATTGCATCAAATTGGAATTGTTGGATTTTTTGGCAGGCTTTCCTGGCAGGTTTTGTGATAAGCTGCTTTGCTTTGGTTCGCGCTTGGTAGGCCTAAGATTTGTGCAATGTTAAATCGCAAAAAAAAATCTTCGCCTGAACATCTGTAATTATATAGTATATGTTCATATATGTTATGTTCAGATTCATGATGGACCAAGCGAATTAGTTTGAGAATGTTTTGGGACAGAACGTTTGCGCCAGTATGGATGTTGTTTGAGCATTTCCAAGTGATTCATCCAGAGTTTCTTGCCTAAGGTGCAAATCTAGCAGGATGAGACACAGTTGTCAAATGGACAGCCAGGTCGTGCAGACTGAGACCGGGGCCGGCACTCTGAAGCATGAGCTGAGTGCTGAGTGCTTTTGGAATCGTGGAACCTGAGAGTCCTGGATGCTGAAACATGACGTTCATCGTGGATGTCAGATTCAGACCTTGTCAACTTGGCTCAAGAGTCCGGCAATTTTCCATTCAGCGCCACGCGTTTTTCCACGGTGCTATGACCGCCCCAGCGACACTGCTGGGGCGCAGCGGTGCAGTGAACGTCCTGACTGCAGCCAAAGGAGGGGCTTGTGAGGGAAAGCCTCTTGAGTGTCTAGAGAACCAGACAGAGAACCACACTGAGCCTCACCTTTGCAGCTCGACACCAAAGCCTGAACTTGAAGCGCCGAGGTGTTGGATTCCATGCTGTCAGCACGGCACTGTTCTGATGGTGGTGATTCTCGGCACATATTTCTCGGCAGCAAATGGAATCTTCAGGAAAAGGTATACCAACATGGACGGAGATATAGGTGGCTGTTGTTTGGTCAGAATGGACGATGCCACTCTTTGGGCTCTTGCTCTCTCCGTTGGGCTGGCTGGTTGGGCAGCTTTGTGGCTGTGGCTCGTTGCTCCGACCGGACATTTGCTTGATGCCGCACGCTTCTTGATGATCACCTGGCTCGGAGGGCTATGCCTTCTCCGCGCAGAATTTCAGTGGAGGGAGACTCTCTGGTGGGTGGAATTTCTCGGGTTGCAATACCTTGCTCTAGAACGTTTCGAGGCGATTTGGTCCGCTTTGGGGGCGACCAGTTGCTTGCGTTGCCTTGCGGGAATGTGGTGCCTGGAAGTTGTGCTCGTTGTTTGTGGCTTTATCGTCAAACAGACAGCGGGACGGCTCCCTGCAATTTGGGTGTTGGGTGTTGCATACTTGTTAGGCGGGTGGGTGTTGATTTACTTCATGATGATGTTTTGTGGAACAGTGTTCACCCTCCAGAGGGCTATGCGGACGGCTCGAAAAGAAGCCAACACAGCTGCCATGGAAGCTTTGCTTGCTTCTAGAAGGGATGCCTTTCTACAAGGAATTGGCTTTCTCGCCAGTTATGCCACCACCCAAACCCTTTCGTATGCCAACAGTTTCCTTGGTCTCTTTGAAGAATACCATTCTTATTTTGCAGCTCAATGCGTCAATATTGTGGTCAACGTGGTTGGTGTCCTTCTGTTGTCGAATGCATACAAACTACTGGCATGTTGTGGATCCGCGCGGCCGCCCGCTCTCCCATGGTTTCGCTGCTCCACCTGTCCCCGCATCCCTGACTTGCGACATGACATCGCTGGGAAGGGTTCACAGTGGATTGCCAAGACGGTAGACCTGGCCACTCGCGGCATCTTCTTGGCCGATCTTATTGCATTTTACAAGCAAATCTTTGACCCTGCAATCATGTCCTTCAAGCCATCAGTTCACACTACCAATGATGTGGTCAGACTTGCAATTATTCCTCTGACCTCTTCAACTTGTAGCTCGTATGCGGAGCTGTTGAACAGACGCCACAAGGTGGTACCTTCCAAGATGGTCACTCACAACTGGTCCAATCTCTTCCGTGATCTAGTGGCTAGTGTAGTAGCTCACGCTCTGGGAGAGCACTCGTTTGACTTTGTTGCTGAACTTTTGTCTGACATGGAAGGTACCAAGGTTGTGGAGGAAGCACTCTTGGTGAGAGGTCTCCTTGAGAAGACTTACTGGATCTGTGCCTTCGCAGTCAATCAGCATGCAGGGATTTGTGGAGAAAATCCGAAAAGAGATATCGATCCTGTCACACAGGTCCCACATCCAACATGCCCTTGCTCCACGCCCAAGTTTTTCAACAAGGATCCACCTTTGAACAAAAATGGGGAGAGTATCCATTGTGAGATGAACAAATTTGATGACATGATGGCATTGCTGGCAGAGCACAATTCTTGGTTTGAAGAGGTAGTTGCTGTTGACGCCAATTTGGACCTCTTTGGGCGGGCCTGGTGTGTTGCTGAGTTGGCTGAAGCTTATCGCAGGGGCATGGATCAGAAGCTGATGCTGAAGAGCAAGACTATTTTGCTCAGGAGACAGTGTACTTTGGAAGGTCTTCAAGTGGAGAATATGCAGGCCAGCCGCCCCGAAGATGTGCAGCATATCTTGGCAAAGATTCCAGACAAGCAGGCGTTCAACCAGGACTTGAAGAAATTGATTTTCGATCGGCAAGAAGGGCTGCTGGCAGCTTGGAAGAAGGCCGACGTGCTGCAGCAGATGGAAGAACTTTCTCATGTCTTGAGATGGGCCGATCTGTCAAGGGAGATAGAGGACGGCGGGCTCATTTGGCGCAGGTGGCCGGCGCCTGCACCCTTTTAATGATTTTAATATATCTTAATTAATGGACGATCTCACAAGCAGGTTGCCCGCGAGCGCTCCAGAGAGAAACAGTCCTCGACTGGCGTCATGAGCAGCTTGGACTCACATTGTTCCCCTGAGAATGTTTGAGCAGCACGAGCACATTTGAGTCACAGCTGTCCCTTATGAAAGGCCAACGCAGTTTCAAACAGATGATTTGTCGTTCATTGCCATTGCAGGATCGATTGCGAACAGATTTGCAAAAAACAATTTTATCCAATTCAAAGCGCAATGACCGGAGCAAATTGAAAACAATGTTTGTGTTGCCCCTGCTTGCCTCACAAAACAACCTTTCAGGACCGGCTCACGTGCCCTGGTCGTCGAGTAGGCCTGGTACGCCTGCTGTGTTTCCTGAGATCCGATACCCTTGCGTGTTGGCCGTTGAAGCTGGAACCCTTCTGAGGTGGGAATGGCATGGAATGGCTCCAATAAACTCCGATAGATGGGGTGCTGGCGCCAATGGGCCCACAAGAAGCCATTTTGGGAGGTCAAGCCGCAGAAATCGGGAAGCAGCTTGGCTGGTGACGGCGTCAACTCACTTCATTCGAAGTCCAAAGTATGAAACTGAAGTAGCCATTTTCGATGGCTTGGTTGGGGGAAAAACCTGACGGGAATTATACAGTACCATGAACTACGGGGTTTCTTGCACATTTTATTTGAAACATCCTGAAACCAATTCTTGGACATTTGCCGGAGGTAGAAACCCTCTTGAGCATGGCTTCTACCACGAAGATGGTTTTTGGGGAAAATTTGATTTGCAAGCTGCTTAGTCAACTGAACCTAGCTCTTAGGATCTCTTAGGAGTAGAACCAAACCAAACCATTGAAACAGGATTAATTAAAGATGATCAAAGCATTTTGTGATGATCGATCCACGGTTTTCTTGCTCAGGTGATTTGCACGCTCTGCAGGGGGATGGCTGGGCTGGCCGGAGCCTTCGAGTGATGTGAAGCGTTCACTGGAAGACTGGAAGTCTTTCCTTCCGTTGGATGCTCCCATTTTCCATTCAGAGGGAGAACCATTCAATTGATTCAATTGCAGTGCCGGAGCGCGCCAAGATTGCCAGGCCAATTCTTGATTCCGAAGTTCGAATGCAGCTTCAGCGTCTCAACTTAATTATTATGACATTTTGATGACATTTTGGATGGCAGACACTTCTCCGTGGTTTGTGGCCGGCTCAGGTGCTTTGGAACTGAGCTTGCTGGAGTTCGGGCGCGGAGCTACTGGATATGTGCGACGTGAAAGATGGCAGTGGCCTCAGAGAGTCATGTTGTGCTACCTTCTCTAAGTACAGTGGTAGCCGAACCACTTTGGCTCACAGAGTCGCAGCTTGTATAGTGAATGCAGGCAGCATGCGATTATTCCAGTCGCTGGAAAAAATGAAAACACATTTCAGTTCGGACTTTGCCCTGGGGAGACTGATTGGGGATGAAGAAACTTTTGCATTGCAAACACATTACAAAGCCACGCATCAGAGACAAGTGAATATTGTTTGCGAATGTCCACTGAGAAGTCAACCCCCACTTGGCCGTTCTGAGATCCTTTGCGGCTTTCAATATGTTTCCCAAGTTTGTGTATGTTCCGCACTTGAATTGGGAACCCTAAACCCTCGTGCTTGGTTCTTCCTGACCCAGCAGGGGTGGCACTGCAGCACTGCAGGTCTAGTCCAAACCTTGCGCAGCTCAAAGAAATGAGGCAGATAACCCTGCAACATGTAACAACTTCATGATTTAGGACTGTCGGATCAGAGGCTTCAAAGAACCAGTGGAGTTCACAAGGGTATGATTCTTGGAGCATTTTGGTGGATTTTACAGGGTCAGATGGGTCAGTGCTGCGCTGCAGGTTGGGAAGGCGCCATGAAATGATTATTATATTTGATGACAAGCCATTGTAATCTTTGTGCCACCATTCATTGCAACTGGTGCCATAATATGCCATAATGTTCATGATGATGTTCAAACTGGGTTCAACCATGTTTTTCCACCCTCTATCCAAGCATGGTTTTTTGAGGCGTAAGGCTCCAAAGAGCTGATCGTGCCCGAGCGAGAAAAGAATGCGTGCCGTTACTTATGGAGCCAGCTGGTTTTAGATGTTGAAAGCAGAGAACGGTGAAACATGTGAAACTCCCGGAGTGCCAGTGGCGATGCAATGTTTTTCCTGCAGCTAGGAATTCTTCGGGTCTAACTTTGGTGATCTTTACTTGACGCATAAACCGCGAGTCTGAAGATTTCTAAACCTTTTTCTTGGTGGAGTTTGTGTGCGCCTTTCATGCAGATCGTGGCCCAAAAATAGCAACTGCGCTTGAAAACAGCCTCCGAAAGGTCGAGGTATCTCCGTTGCATCAAGTTGCGTTTGGCCTGCAGGGGCATCTTTGTATATATCTATATGGCGTATATGGTTTTCACTGGAATCGTCAGCTGCTGAAAATGTGAGCTCAAGGTTGGTCATCCCTTCAATGGCTAACATGAACAGATCTCGCAGTCATTTTGAGGTTGGCAGAACTTGGTTATGTGTGGTTAAGTTATGTGGATATTATTTAGCAATGGCGCCAAGGTATTTGTTTCATTCCCTGGTTCAGTAGCAAGGGCATTCGGAGTTGGGTTATTCGCAGGTTATCAAGAATCAGATGAAGGCACACGTGAAGCCATGGAAAGCATGAAAGGCAAAGCAGAAAGGAAGTTATGCAGCGGTATGCATATATATATATACAAATGTGTATATAAAAATATACATATTATATACATATTATATACATATTATATATATATATATTTTATATATACATTATATTGTTCTTGACGTAATCCCACAGATTCCATCATATGTCCCAGATGGCATGCCATCATGATGCACCACGGGGCATGGTGACCTTCACAGAGCTGAGGCCATGTCTAAAGGTCCCAACGACGAGGGTTTGATCTTCGAAACCTCTGAGGACGGAAACAGCACCTGCCGTGCTGATGTAAGGACATCTAAAGTGCTTTGCAGCCAAAAATATCAGCGTATTTCAGCATATCCATGGTGTCACACATGGAAGATGTTTTTTCCCCATGCCCAAATCATCACAACAATATTTCCTGCAAAAAACGCAACTGGACCTGCGGAGGATGTGGAGGTTTTGCCCACCTTCGATGCCCTGGGCTTGAAAGAAGATTTGCTTCGAGGTGTTTATGCTTACGGCCCCTCGTTTGCAGTGGTGGGAATGGAGGATGGCACTTGTGCACTGCTGGTCACTGGATTTGGAAAGTGGATTTAGCCTGATATGCCTGATTTAGTTAGCACTTTGTAGAATCTTTTGCGGTTTCAGTTGCTAAACAGTTTCAGGCAGCTGGCAATCCCTCGCTTTGCAGTGACCCCCAGGTTTTGAGCGACCATCCGCCGTGCAGCAGCGTGCCATTCTGCCGATCTTGAAGGGTCGAGATGTCATCGTCCAGTCTCAGAGTGGAACAGGAGTCGAGGGATGGAAGTCTTCTGGAGGGCAAAGCATATTATAATGTATTATATGTCATGTATTGTCATCTCTTATTTTCTTTTGCAGAATTCTTTTGCAGAATGACTATCCCTGGCTGCTAGTGCTGCCAGTGCTGCTGCCTCTGGTGGTTTCACATTCACCAGGAAAGACGTGCGTGTTCTGCTTGGGAGCCTTGCAGAGTGTTGACACCAGCTCTCGAGAGCCCCAGGCGCATCAGTGGATTTGATGTGACAAGAAGACCTGAAGAAGTTTCGAGAAAACATCTCCGTCATTACATCTACAATATAGTCATATAGAGAGATATGTAGTGCAATATTAGTCAATAGGGTTTATAAACCAACTTATGACTGGTGGGCATCAGCAAAGCATCAACCGAGAGCATTCACCAACTCCTCGCGCCATTGCACTTTGGGTGTCCGCCTCAGTGCATCCGCAGGCGTTGTTCTTGTCACCCACACGAGAACTGGCAGAGCAGAGTCAGAAGGTTTGCCTTGCCCTGGGTTGCTTGGCTTGATGTGGCCATGGGGCGATGGTGCTGAATGGGGGCTACTTCTAGATAAATCGGGCGGATTGGGTTCATCCTGACAGAGGGGGTGGCACCTTGTGGAACAGATGCAAAATGCAAAAAGAAGATGTAGTGATGGCCTCTTACTAACTTTTCGCAAGTCGATGATATGCTTGATTCGCTTGATCCAATCCAATCTATCCAATCCAAGTTAATTGAACATGTTTGTGCCACAGCCAATGGTTGGAACATCTCCCCTCATTCATTCCAGACATCGCTTTCCTACTGAGGTGACTACCTGAACGTTCAGGTGCACGTGTGCATCGGAGGCAAGCGTGTCTCCGATGACATCCACACCTTCGAAGCAGGCGTGCAGATTGTTTCTGGTACACCTGGCAGGGTCTTCCACATGATTCAGCATCTTGGACAATTGATGATGGAGGGATGGAATGGGATTGCTCAAGAGCCAGAAGAAACCGCACATTTAGAGTATAATCAAGGCTGGGAATGTGCATGTTCTAGTTGTACATCAAACTTGTCCACTGAGTGTATCCTGGTTATAATGTGAGATGTATGGTGCAGCAGCATGAATTGCCATAAATCCAGCCGATATGATGCACGGAGCCAATATAAGCTATTAAATACTGGGCATAGTCGTTGCACTTGATAACTCAGATCAAACAACTGAGATCAAATATCATAGTCATATAAGCTACATAGGTCATGCATATAGAGTCGTATAGGGATTTCCTGGGAAGTTACCAGCCTACCAGCTATATCGGACCATGAAGCCGCGGCTCTCGCCACCCAGGCAGCGACATTTCAGCACCCGTCACATCAAGATGCTGGTGCTGGATGAGGCTGATGAGATGCTCAATAGGCCGGTGTTTGGGTGTCTGATGTGTTTTTCCTGTGACAACAACTCTTTGGAATATCTCTCTTTATGATTGGCGATTTGATTGGATGGTAGATGGTAGTAGTGACAAGTAATGGGCCAACTTTCAGGAAATGAGATTCTTCCTTGCAGGTACGTCAGGTACTTGTGAAAGATGCTTAATGGTCAATTCAGTGCATTCTGCTCAGATTTGCTCAGTAATGTGTGATATATCTATGTGATCTCAAGGGACGGCCGACACGACTCAGGGGCTTCAAGGAGCAAGTCTATGACATCTACAGATACCTCCCACCTTCCACGCAGGTGAAGGGGCGGGGGAGGGGGGGGAATTCCGTTTTGAGACCACGGCATTCATGTGCATTCCAAGGTTGGAGAAGTCAATTTAGACGGAGTCACGACTGCAAGCAGCACAAGTGAAGAATGTATTTGGTGTGTTTCTTTTCTCATCGGCAGTGTGTTGTGGGATGTTTTGATTTTATAATAATTTATTCATTGCAGTGTAATTATTTTCGGGTTTTCTCACTACATAAAAAAAAATGTCGGCAGCCTGCTGCAGTTGCATGGCCCTGTGCAGGTGGTTCTGGTTTCAGCGACCATGCCGTTGCTTGGATCATCCGGGCGGATGGGTCAATTTTACACGTGTTTTTACACCATGATACTCGATGTGTTGGGTATATCAGGTATATCATATCAATATATATATATACATGTAATGAATTATAATGATGTATATGGTATTTGTAGCTATATGGCTATATGATGCTATATGCAAAGCCCGGATTCTGTAGCACTTCAGCCAGGATTCCCCCTGGAAAGCGAGCCAACACATCCCTGATCATTTGGTTGTCAATTGGCCCGTGCAAAGATGGCAAATTTGTGGCTGAGAATTAAGTGGCAGATAATGAGTATTGATTATTGATTGCTATTGGCCCTGCGTGTTCACACGTTAGATTATTTGGATTCTACACACATGTGCACTCACGTAATTAAATATATATATATATACTTATTTATTTATTTATTTTTACAAATGTTCTAACATAATGCATTTACTACAGAATGTATATGTATATATATATCTGTATGCCGGCTATAAGTTTGTTAATAACTACTGAGCTCAAAGGCCCCTCAATTGCTGATTTGACATAAGTTTCTTTCTCCCACATGCAATTTACACATTTACAAACCATTCCTGGGTGCTTCTTGGAGTGGCTCTGCGAGGCATGAAGTGCTGGAGATGACGCACAAATTTATGCCGGGATCTCAACCTTGGCAATCCATGGGAGTCCCACAAAAGTTCAGGTATGGTACTTATGGTACCATGGTATGGCAATGCTTAGCATGGCTTACACCTGGCCAAAATGGGGCTAGACTAGAATCCGATAGAATCCGCACTATTGATGGGGACTTGGTATGACTTGGTTGGGTTTCGCGGGCCATTTGCTTTCCATCTTGATTCGCGATGATTTCACCCATTGGTTGACCAGTGCTGGCAATGAACGGGGGGTTGAAACCACCTACAATTCATGAGCATCGTGGCAACATCCCAGTGCTAGAACCCATAGGATCCATGTATGGTATATATGCTAACATTTGGGGTATATTGATGGTAAATGTTACCATATATAGCATACATGGAGCCTATGGGGAATGGATTGCAGTTGGTCTACAATCGAAATTCGATGGGCATGCATCGGCATGAACGTTGATTTCGCCACCTTCAGAGCCTGCATCCATCGCATTTCTTGTGAGACAATCCGTCGGCACCGAGGAACAACCCCTTCCGCGTTTTGGTCAAGCGCGATGAGCACCTTGGATGTGGAAAATCCATGGGGTACCCAGGTACCCCAAGGAAAATGATCTTAAACAAATTTAAAAATGGTGGATTTTCAATATTACTTAGGCGGGGTAAGCATTTGGACCATGGGAATTAAATGCATTAATATATATACGTAGATATATAGGAGGATGATGGGTACTAATTATATATAGTTGCCCAATGGCTGCCGGGTGTGTGTATTGAAACAAGGCATTCATACCCTGACTTTTGGAGTTAATTTTCAGACTGTTGACATGGGGATGTGTCAAATCAACGGAATGGGCAAATGAACATTCATAACAAACAAATATTTTGGTGACTTCAAACCAGGAGATTCCAGGGATTTTCAACTGGCCGGGAAGAGGTAGTTGCACACCCAGGTTGACTCTGGAAGGAATCAAGCAGTTCTTTGTCGCAGTGGAGCGCGAGCAGTCTCTTGGCGTTTGCAAACTCTCGCATGGACTGGTTTTCAGAAACACCTGGGGATCGATCCCCGATTAAAATGATTAAAACATATTTAATCATGTTTGGTGGGATGAATATCTATGTGTCAGCTGCTTTGGGTTTTGACTTTGGCCCAGAAACATTGAATAATCGTTGGGGTGCCCCAAAATGACAACCGGTGTCGAAATTGGCGCATGTTTGAGGTGGAAGTTCGATACCCTTTGCGACCTGCTCCTTGGACACATTGCAATCCACATCAATCCACTGGGTTCTCATGACCTGATTGACCTGTTCCTTGGCCGCTTCAACACTTGGCTCAGGTATGATACCCTGACCATCACGCAGGTTGGTAGCTTTCTATTTGGCTGCACCCATTAATCGAAGATGGCCGTTGAATGATAATACTGGCCTTGGGAGGTGGCACAGTATGAATTCTCAAAAGATCTTCCGAACCACAGTATACACCAGAAAAACTTCAAAACTTTGCTCAGAAATCTGGAGCTGCTGGTGAAATACTCGCACAACATGTTGCGACTGATTCCGCGCAGGCAGTGATTTTCTGCAACACCAAGCAGAAGGCCTTCAGCAACGAGCTTCATATGTCTTGGCTCATGGATGCTGGTCTTGAAGAACTGCCTCTACTCATCAAGGATTTACCCATGCTTCAGAGACCGGCATGCCCCTAGCACTCATGAACAAAATCATGGCCAAACGCCTTGGCAAATGTTGAACCTTTGACAGCCTTTCCAGAACTAAATCCAAGAGGCTGGCAACGTTCGTGTGCACATTGTGGACATTTCAACAGCTAATCTTTCGAGACTTGTGACGCCAAACTGTTCTGAGAGGTAGAGCCAATTTTGACCCACCAAAAAATTGTCAGACCCACAGCCTACTGGAGGATTCTAGCCACGCACTTTGATTTTTTCAGTGTTTTTGGGGAATGACCACATCACCTGACCTACTAAAAACGTCTAAAAATCAGACCTTAGCAGGGTATCAGATCAACAAACCACCAAGCCTGGCCCAATTCACGACACCTCACAGGTGGATTGGTTGACCCAAAAGATGCGAGATGCCAACTTCACAGCCTGGGGACCCTTCACCTCGGGTAGGGCTGGATTTGGCGTTCCACGGTGGGTAGATATAGATATGTTGAATCCCTGGTGGATGGTGATCCGATTGGCCAAGGTGGCTTCCATCCATGGCGATATGCCTCAGAAGGAGAGAGATGCCATCATGCAACAGTCCTTGCCTCAGAAGCGGCGACCTTATTGTTTGTGGCTTGATGATGCCTGATATGATGGAGTCCAATGGAGGTTGACTGGGACCCACAACCAACCTGAAAGTTCCCCCAGATCTTGGAAATTCTTGGAATATCTTGGGTGTGGTTTTTCATCAACCCAACCCCCCAGTCCCCCAATCCCCATCCAATCCTGCAGGTTCCGCTCTGGTTCCAGCCGTGTGTTGATCTCCACAGACTTGTGGGGTCGTGGTTTGGATGTGCAGCAGGCGCAGTGGGCGCATGGAATGGCTTCCATGAATTTGGATCTGGATTTCAATGGAATTCACGGCGCCTTCACATGTACAGGAATGTGGGTGCATTTACCAACTGCACACCTCACAATGACTATATGTTCACCCTGTGTTCACACCAGTCACTCACCAGTCGCTGGTCCTTTCCAATTTTTGGCTTCTCAGTCGCAGCTATATATGCCACCTGGATCCACCTCGGAGGTGTCCTTGGTGATTTGCTATGACTTGCCCAACAACCGCGAGCTGTACATCCACCGCATCGGCCGCAGTGGTCGATTCGGACGAAAGGGTGTGGCGATCAACTTCGTGAAGATCCTCGGTAAAGGGTGGGAATTGGGGGAAAAAAAGGGCTGTAGCCATTCATAAATGGGGAGAACATTGAGATAAACCAAGTAGGAAACTGATGAATTAGCCAGGCTAAGTTTTATAAGCCACCACTCACCGGAATGCTCCTCCGAGTGATTGATCCATCCTATTCTCCCTCTTTCCAGAGATGATGTCAAGACAATTCCATTTGCTGGCTACAGTGTCTTGAATTTGTCATAATTTGTCCAAATCCTTTGTTCATCACATCTTGCACCCATTCGTATGTCCAGATTAACAAAGGATTTGGATTGTGAAACATCCGATCCCTTGGGCCAACAGCTCGCCCTCAGTCTTAGCTGAACCTTCGGGATGGCGATGGGGAGAGAGAGAGAGAGAGAATATATATATATACCCATTCACATCTCTTGCCTTCAATAAGGAACAATGGAATTAGATGTATGTTCTATGATGAAATTAGATTGGTATATCATGATATATATATCCGATTGTGGCTATAGTTGCAGTGTAACCAGACTATGAAATGTATAGAGCTCTTGGAGCCAAGGAATGACGACATCCGTATTCTTCGCGATATCGAGCAGCACTGGCCTCAGTTCATGTTACGCCAACCTTGCCATGGTTGATCTTTGCCATTGGGGTTGGAGAGAAATGCCGACACACATAACAGACTTTTCTTCCCTCCAACACTGTAACACCAGGCCTCGCAGTCACCATGTTCTTTCGCTTGAAAATAGTGAAAGCCCGACAGTGAGGTTCTATTCCACACAGATCGATGAGATGCCAATGAATGTGGCGGACCTCATCTAGTCCCCAGGCAGGAGCTGATGCGGAGATGTGCTGCTTCATGAACAGATCCAGCTGTGACTTCAGGCACGTTGCATCAGATTGCAGCTCCCTGGCCACGGTTTGGCGTGAGCCTGTGTAGAATAAGCAGCCAAGGGTTGCGTCTTGGAAAGTGTCTGTAGGATGCCTGCAATATGGTGAGACATGTTGAGACGAATCTGAGCTAATTTGTACAAGTAAAGTCAGACAGGGAAGAAAGCGGATGAGTCCTCGGGGTCAGCTTTTTGGGGTCAGCAGACTGGCTAAAAAAAAATATCGGACATCTGTGGGGGTTTGATCCAGACTTGCTCATGGCTTATGCGTTGCAAGTGTGCTTTGCAATGGCCCAAAAATCCCAAAAGCCTTGGCAGCGCTAGACTTACAACAAACCCACCAGATAGATAGACTCATCTGTTTGCATGAGGAATTCCTTGACCAAATGGAATCCGATTGTGATTTGACCATTTAGTAACGACATACCGATACCCCATCATGACATGCCGGTTGCTATGTGTTGTTCCACTACGTTCTTCGACGTTTTGTGAGTATTGTAGGCCTCCCAGGCATTGGAGGTACCTTGAGCTGAAACGAAAGAGCTTCGATCTGTGCTGGTTATCAGCGCAAGCGCAGAAAGACGGGTTCAATGAAAAGTGGCGATGCTTGGCCCTTTGGGCCGAGGTTTGCATATTTCTAGATGGATATTTTTTCCAGCAGGTTAGGATATCCATTTCCACCACATTTGTTTTGTCACCGTGATCTATTCTTTATGAACATATAGGCCAGTTCAGTGGGGACGACCATGTGATTGCTGGATATTGCTCGACATTGCTGGATATTGCTGGGGTATCCCCAACTTTTGGACATCCCTATAGACGGAGAATTGTGTGATGCAAGAGCCAGGTTTGCAGGTTCCCAATTCGCATTGCCCAGGTGTTGGGTCTTGTTGACGCCGCGTTGCACGCAGAGAGCATGTAGATGCATGTAGTAGCTTTGGCCCAGAAACGCTTAGGGCCGTTCTCAGCGTTGCGATGTTATGAAGCGACTGTTGAGTTTGAGCCTCAACATAGACATCTGAGCTGTGAGTATGCTTTGTGGTTAAGACCTGTCAAGATTATGTTTTGGGGTTGGAAAAGTTGCTGAGGAAACCTAGTTTACAAACCACATAGGCCACATAGGGCTTGACAAAATTGGTGTCCCCAGCTGGCTCAGAGAGAGAGAGAGAGAGAGAGAAAGAGAAAGAGATTGGCTGTGTCTAAGCAACCTTATGCAACCATCGGGAAATTTGGAGAAGAAACCTCATGAAGAAGATCAGTTTACATGATTAAGATTGATTAAGTATTACGTTGGATTCGTTCATTGCATTTGATGACTGGCTGAGAACCAAGGTCGCGCTCAGTGCGCGCTTTGACGGTGGGGCCGTTGCTGCGCAGGGGCAGGTCTCATGGGTCATGACAGGGCAAGGTAGGAACTTTTGAGGGGGAAATACAAGAAGTATTGAAAGTATCGAAATTAAAGATGGGAATTGTTCAAAACCCTCCGGCGTACTTGGGGGATGAACGATATTTTATTCATTGCCAGTTATTTCGACGCAACCATTTCAGAGTGCCAGGGTTTTGATCCATAACATTCCATAACATGCCAGTTTAAACTATAGGAACTCCCAAACGAAGTAACGAAGTCTGTTTTTGTGGAGCTATGGAAGACTACTTAATATGAATCATGAAATGTGCAGTCTGCGTGTGGAACTTGGTCAGGCCACTTAGCGTCGAAAGATGATTCCAGACCTGTACGCCCTGGGGTGGATCGCGTGTATCGGAGCGTTGATGACCCTTTGTATGAACACATGGGAAAAGATGGGAAAACATGGGAAAACATGGGAAAACTGAATTTGGGTGAATTTGGAGCATACTCCTTTTTAACAGCAATGACAATTCGTTTGACACAGTCTTAGTTGGTAAACCCTGCTTTTGGTGGTTAACATGGATTTTGCTGAGATATGAGGAGTTTGAACAAACTTGGTATATGGGTGTCTCTGGCACCCCCAAATCCCATAGTTTATCAGACCAGGTTTCCGGATGCTAAGCGACCACGGCTAGATGCAGGCAGGGTATGCCTGGGTGGAATGTTGGAGATGGGTTTGTCCAACAATGGGGCATACATCCTGAAATATATTAAACCTATCCCAGAAAAGGTGGTATACATACATACATACATACATACATACATACATACATACATATATACATACATACATACATACATTTATTTTAGAGCTGACGCTCATCGTCGGCTCCGCCGGATTACTTGACCCTCGATGTCATCGCAAGGTGGGATTGAAAGCTATTGAATGAGGACCTGCTGCTTCAGAAATATATTCTCATATGCAAAATGGCCGCCTTGAGGAAATGGCCTTGAGGAAATGCAAAATTTTGAGTAATTTTTTTTTACCTCAAAACCAGTCAAAAGGCTTCAAACATGCTCATGCAGCACTCGAGCACCACTTAAACCAAACCAAAATTGACATATTTTTCTCGGCCATTTTTTGAGATAAATTGAGGGGCCATTTTCGGATGTTGAAATCTCAAAATATTTCGCACGCTCTCTGTGCACACTTTAGCTGGCTCAGAATAGCTCGCTGGGATGAAAAAAGTGGCTGATGGAGATGTCCAAAACTTGATGCCAACACATTACCAAATAGCCAACAACCAAAAAGAAAAAGAACTCAAAATGGTTCAAAAAAAACAAACTGTCTCAATTGCAAATTTTAGTTGTTAATTGACCAGTTGCTCAAATGGCCTCAATTGCAACCAAATGGAACCAAACTAATTCAATGGCTTTTTCTCCGGTCCAAGGATTTGTTCACTCAGAGCTGCTCAAAATGTACTCAAATGCTCTCACATAATGGGGGACTAGTGTCACTTAGAAGCTCTCACTCTGACTCAATCTCACTCAAATGCTCTCACAGAATGGGTGGGGGGAACAAACAACCAAAGAACACAACCAAAATAATCAGCCAAACATACTTCACCAAGTTCTTTTTCCCGAGCCATGTCGTTGCTCGGGAATTGGAATGGCATCGACTGCGCCATTCCAGCCGATGCAGAAAACCAGCAACCAATGTGCGTTGATTTCTCCACATAATTTTTGATCAGGTTGAGCCATTCCCCTCCAAAAGAAATCACCCCGAAAAAAATCCAAACATTATGCCTGAATTTCAATGGATGCTAACCTATCATATATCATGGTGCGGTAGGTATAATTTACCCAACTGGTTGATAATTGGGACAAGTAACTTACTTTGAGTAAGGACTTGAGCCAGATCGAGGCCCATTTGAGTTCAGGATGAGGCGATTAGAGTCATTTTGAGACATTTTGTTACAGCATTGGAGACATTTGAGCCAGATTGAGGCCATCTGAGCTTCAGGTGAGGTGGTTCGAGTCATTTTGAGGTTATATGAGTCCTGTTGGGACAGTAGGTTAAACAAGACCTGTGAGCCTCATCGAGGCCCAGTTGAGTTGAGTTGATAATTATTTTAAGAGTATATTCAGCAAATGAAAAACATACAAATTTCAACAAAGAATAATTCATTGCAATACCTTGAAAATGACGTGCTGAGTGTTTTAAAAATATTTTTGGACAGAATCTATGGAAATAAATCTTATTTTTCAACATATTTTGAAAAATATGTGTTGAAAAAAGAACTTTCATATTTTCATTCCAATACCTTGAAAATGATCCACTGAATGTTTTAAAACTGATTGTGGACATAATTTTTTTGAAAGAAATCAGTTTTTAAAAAATATATAAAGATGCACAATTTTAATTTTTCAATATGTTACAAAAGCATCTTTTTCTTTTTTTAAAATTTATAAAAGCAGCTTTTTGCTTTTTCTCATTTTCTGTTTCCCCTTGGGGTCTCCCCATTGTGTTATTCCCGTTGTACCTCCCCGTTTTGGGGTCCAAGTCCTCGGCAGACCTCGGCCTGGCAGGCTCTCGGCAGAGCACAACAGGGAGACACAACGGGAGAACCACAGCGGGAAAATGATGCAAAACTTTTATAAATTTTAAAGAAAAAGGTGCTTTTGAGAAACACATTGAAATGTTAAAATTGTATATATTTACTGAATAATTTGATACTTCAAAAAAAAAACTATCCATAAATTATGTCCACAATCAGTTTTAAAACATTCAGTGGATCATTTTCAAGGTATTGGAATGAAATTTTGAAAGTTGTTTTTTTTCGATTTTTTTTGTCAAAATATGTTGAAAAATGAAATTTCTATCCATAAATAAATTTCTATCCATAAAAATGAATTTGACTTTACCATTTTTTTGACGAAAGCTGATGATTCCAGAGTTTCAGCGGCACAGCTGTTTCACCGATGCTTAAGGCATTGAGACTCTGACCCAAACCGAGGTCCACAAAAGGAGCAGGGCCACATGCATACGGAAGTGTATACTACATAATCTACTGGGTAAAGTTGCGATTGAAATAAAGGGGCCCCGGATTCTACTGCAACTGCTGTATATCAACAAAATAAACACAGTTTTTGTTGCGGGTGGGGTTTCTCAAATCACCTCAATTTCTTTCGAAGTGCTGTTTCAGTGTTATTTTTTGGGCAACATAAATTACCTCAACTTCTTTCGAAGTCACTCGATTTTACTCATTTACATTTTTAGCATCACAGAATGCAATAATCTCAAAGAGGCTCAATGGAAGCTCTAACAGTCTCAGGGGGAACTCAAATGGACTCAAATAGATTATTTAACCACTAACATTATGATAACACTGTTTACCCCGAAAATGTACTCATATTGACTCTCAGACAACTTATTTATAATCAAATTCCAAGATTTTGAACTCGACGTTTCCTAGCGGCCATTTGGTATCATAGGGTCTTTTGCCTATGATATTCATGGATGTGTAAAAACTTCTGTGTGAAAAAGCTTCTGCATGTAAAAGCTTCTCCGTGTAGAGACTTCTCTGTGTAAAAACTTCTGTGTGTGAAAGCTTCCGTGTGTAAAAGCTTTCTGTGTAAAGACTTCTTTGCGCAAAAGTTTCTGTCTGTAAACGTGCCTCTGGGTTAAAGCTCTCTGTAAAGACTTCTTTGTGTAATAGCGTCTGTGTGTAACAGCTTCCGTGTGTAAACGCCCTTGTGTGTAAAAGCTCCTGTGTAAAGGCTTCTCTGTGTAAACGCTTCTGTGTGCAAACGCGTCTGTGTGTATAGCCACTTCTCTGTGTAAAAGCTTCTGTGTGTAAAAGCTCCTCTGTGTAACGCGTTTGTGTGCAAAATCTCCTTAGTGTAAAGACTTCTCTGTGTAAAAGCTTCCGTGCGTAAAAGCTCCTCTGTGCAAAGATTTCTCTCTGTGTGTAAAAAGCTTCTGCGTGTAAAAGCCACTCTGTATAAAGAATTCTCTGTGTAAAAGCTTCTGTGCGTAAAAGCTTTTGTGTGTAAACGCCCTTGTGTGTAAAAGCTCCTGTGTAAAGGCTTCTCTGTGTAAACGCTTCTGTGTGCAAACGCGTCTGTGTGTATAACCACTTCTCTGTGTAAAAGCTTCTGTGTGTAAAAGCTCCTCTGTGTAAACGCGTTTGTGTGCAAAATCTCCTTAGTGTAAAGACTTCTCTGTGTAAAAGCTTCCGTGCGTAAAAGCTCCTCTGTGTAAAGATTTCTCTCTGTGTAAAAGCTTCTGTGTGTAAAAGCCAGTCTGTATAAAGACTTCTCTGTGTAAAAGCTTCTGTGCGTAAAAGCTTCTGTGTGTAAATGCGTCTATGTAAGAGATTGTAAACGCTCCTCACCAGCAGCATCCATCATCATATTCTCTTGTGTGCTATCTTCCCGTCTCCTCCCTCCAGCTTTCTTTCGGGCCACACTGTCGTCTAGTTTCAATCTGTAACGTCGTTTCTTGTTGAAGAATGCCAAGAACATGTGACAGCATCGCTCGTTCAAAAATTGAACATAAACGGCGCACAAAGTGCTGTAATTTACAGCATGTTGCGCTGTTAGATGGCAAGAACCCACGTAAATACCACAGTTTTAGTCTCCGAAAGTGGATAAAACACTATTATTTACAGGGTTTCGCTCACGTCACGATCTTCGATTGTTTGAAAAACGCATCAATACCAGCGTTTTTTGCATTCATGAAGGCAAAACATTGATTACAGAATGTTTCTTCCGATGTTGTCGCAGACATACCTGCTCTCTCCTCAGTAGATGCGGTGTCGCATTGCAAAGAAACATTGGTTGTTAGACGTTCATGTTCAAAACCATGAGAAGCTTGTCATAGATCCGGCCCTTTGCCGGGTGAATTGCGAACAATGTTCACGGCACTCAGCAACGGAGGAAAATCAATATTAATGCAGTCAGGCGCAATGAAGCAGAAAAAGTTGTTTGCATGCTTTGTCCTCTTTATTTTTGCACGAATTGCCTACCAAAGCAGTGCTTCGATGATGTTTGATTCTATTTCTTGATGTTTCTTGATGTTTAGTGTTCGGAAATCGTTAAGCTTCCCTGCTCACCATTTCTTGAGTTTCGTCGTGGGAAATAGTGTAAAAGCATGTAAAAGCTAGAGTTTGAAGGTATTAACTCTGGAGTTTAGTTTTTTTGATTGTGGTAATCCACTACTCTCCTCCAAGGATTTACCTCCAGAGTGAATTCTTGCTGCTTCGGACCCTGGTGAATTAACTTTCAAGTTAATTCTTTTTGGATAGGGGTTGGATTCATCTAGATAGTGGGAGCTGTGAATTTGACGTTTGTTTGCCAGCTTCTGTGGACTTGTGGCGGCCAGTGGTTACAGCTTAAGCAGAGGGCGTGGAAGTAAAGACTGGCACCCCTGCGAAGTGGTCGAGCTGGGTGACGCTGGCTCACTGCGTGCTGCTGGTTTGAGATGGCTGAAGCAAAAGGTTCAGCTTGCGATTCAGCTGTCACAGAAAGAGTCCGATGATCTTCGCCAGAGGCAGGAGCGCAGCCATGAACTGCTGGACGCGCGCTGCCACCTGCAAGGCCTCAAGAGAGTACCTGTACCACCGCTGGGAAACGGTTTGTTCGAATCTGTGGTTCTTAGTCCCTCTGAGCCCCATGCAGCTGAGGCATGCTGTTGTCGATTATTTGAGGCTGTTAGTCCGAATGTTTGGCCCTCGAATGGAGAGCCGTTTTGCTGGTCCATACCAAGAGTATTGCGACCACATGGCACCTGATGGCTCTTGGGGCGACGAGTTGTGTTTGCTAGCCTCAGCTCACATTCTTCGCCGCCCGTTGTGGGTGATCACAGATTCAGAATGTCCGGAACCACGCGAATACATTCGCAAAGTTTGTCCTCCTCCAATCATCGACGAGAGTTGCTCGGGTCCTCCAGTCTTCCTGGCTGCCAGTCTTGACCAACACTTCGGCTCGACAGAGGCTCTGTGACGCTGTGTGCCTGGACTTGCTCGAGCCCAGGAAATGTTTTGTAGCTCCGTTTGCACGGGGCATGCTGGCTGCTCCGGGATCCTTCCAATGCAAAGAAACCAGGAGTTAATTTCCAGGATCATTTACCCACCATGAAGAAAAGATGCTTTTATGTGTCAGCAGGTCAAGTGACTACAATGACTACAAGGAATGAACTCTTGAGTTAATTCTTCCATGCATGTCTTGATGATCAGCCCCCGGACTGACAAGAGTTACCTTCTGAGTTGATTCTTACCAACTTTTCCTTTCATCCTCTACCTGGTGGCACCCCCTTTGTCCCAGGGCCCTCGTTGCGCCAAACTGCGGCGCCACCGGTGGATGATGCGCTGGCCAAGCTGCGCCAAGCAGCGCAGTCGGCCATCGACTCGGTGACGATGTCCATGCTGGGAGGCCGCTGCGTTTGACAGCCCTGTTGCTGATAGATTGTAAGGGATGACTATAGGATATGAGTTGGGGGATGATGTATAGTTACTATTTTGGGGATCAAAAATGGTTAAAGATGATAGATTGCACGGGCAAACTTGTATACTATCGAATATTGGGGCTGTTGGTGGTTCACAGGCTTATACGGCTATCATCGACTATCCAATACCTTGGGGATTAATTAGCACAATTCCAGCAAGTAGGGGGATCCTTCTCAAGCAATTTAGTTCAATATATATATATATATATATATCGTGGAGAAATGGTAAAACACAAGATGGGCATTTCATGTGAGAAAAATAAATCGATTGGAGAAAAGGAAAAAATGTTGAACCAAATCCCCAGCACAGCTACCGTAGAACATGATATTATTGTTATATATGTATATATCTATACACGCGTTGTTCTGAATGTATTTGATGATTTGTTTCGCGGCTCCTCATCAAGGGTTTTTGTTGATGTTCTGATGGCGCTAGAGGGGAAGAGAGGTATATACATTGAAACATCAAATGGGAAGGGGAAATATTCGCCAGCAAAATCATAGAACATGTGCTACCCACAACTATGCACCAAAAAAAATCAGATCAATGAGTTCATTTACTGTAAGCGTTTGGATGATTTGGATGCGGATATACCGAAATTATGAAAAAACGCAGCAAAATCAAGGATATTTATGTTAGATCATTTAGATCCGGGTCTTCATGTTGGACCTTAGCCTTAGCCTTAAGAACATAGTTTACAGCGAAAACCAGTCATGATTTCAGTGATGGATCCGTGCATTCATAAGAAATTTACCACCATGACTTTACCATTTTTTGTCAATGGAAATTTCAGGATTCTAAAATGGAGGTACTGTACCATATAAAGGCCATATTTTGCGGGGATATTCCCTCACATAGGCCTTATATAGGCTGTATATTTGGTAGGCACCTCCAATTTAGGTTCCTGAAATGGCCATTGATTTTGTGAAGAAAAGGTGACCGAAAATCCCCAGCATCTGTTTGAAAAAGGTAACAAACCACTTCAATCATCCGTGTAGCCACAGCTCAGCTGAGCAGGCTCCGCGTCCACTGGATCCACTCCAGCGGCTCCTACTGCCCCCAGTATTTTGGCAGATCTTCATTGGTGATGGTTGGTACTTTCATATTTTTCATATGTTTCTCCATTCATTCGATGAATCAACTATTTCTAACTCATTTAATTACCTGTGGCAGAAATGGATGGAACTGAAATGATGATCCCCACAAGGCTCGCATTTTCGGAGTCAAACCCATCAGCTCAGCGTTGATAGGCTGCGTCTCTGCCAAGGTCCCATGCGTCCCTTGGGGTCAGCGCCCACCGTGAATCCGTCCATGTCCACGCCCAAGTTGCCGGCAACCGGCACGCCGGTCGCGGCCTCAGGGGTTGGATGATGGTGGATGGTAAAAAGATGTTTGTTGAGGAAGATAGAAATTATAGTAAATTATAATAAATTATAGTAAATTATAGAGGATAGATAGATATAGATAGATATTAAATTTAAATAGATATTATGAATAGTGATGATGGATACGGGTTGGCAGGGTGTTTCCTGAAGTTTGTTCTTTTCACAACATCCCCATTGAATCATTGGAGACTCAAACAAGGACTGGCCATGACTGGCCCCAGCTTCCTTACTGCTAGCACCTGAGTGCCATGTTGCAATGCAAGGTCGCAGCAACGGTTTTCAGTGGAGGAACTAGTATGGGCATGCCTGCCATGCCGACAACAACGGTACCTTCAGTACCTACGGTCGGGGGCTCGAGTTGTCAGGTGTATTGTTAATGATCGGATCATATTTGGTTCATCAGGTAATTCAAAGTTTCGCGCTTCGATGTGACTATTCCTCAAATCTATTAAAATCCCGCAAACTGCTGGTTTTTCGCATGGTCACGGGGATTGGGACTCTTCACTTAGGGTGACATCCCCATATCCCATGTGTGCCAGGGAGTTCTGAGGTCCCAACGACTCCTGTGCCTCCTGTGCCGCGAAGTGCCAGTCTTGGGGCGGCCAAATGCTCAGATTGAAGGTATCTCAAGATCCACTAGGGTGGATCCTGGCTGTTTTTTGTATTCGAAAGATATTAGACCAAGAAAAGGTTCTCTGAAAGAACATGGTATTGCTATGCATTGCTGGCATTGCTGCTTGGAGTTTGGCTTAGCCACAGGTGGGATCATGCACAAAAAACATCCCGAGGTGCCAGCCACCAATGGCTGTGCAGGCCCTGCAGGTCCTGGTGCTATGGGAATGATCGGCCAGCCAGGCAGGGATGGTGGTGCTGACCATGTGGTGATTGCTGTTATTGACTGTGGCTGCCAGTTGGATCTACCCGGATGGATGTGAATCATTCAAATGTGGCAAATGTGGAGATTGTTTCGGGCAGTGATTTCTGCCTCATTTCACTAGCAGTTGCTAATGGCAGGGTTGCGACTCAATCTGTCACCTCAGCTTTGAGGAACACTTTCAATATCTTTCAATTTTCATGCGATTGGAAGGCTTCACAATTGGGTACAGTACTGATCAGTAACCGTAGACACCCTTCACCATTCCAGGTCAAAGGCGGCACATTTTCGCATCGAGCCTCCCAAACAACCATCAACGCACCATCCATCGACATAGACATGACTACACAGAAACCAGCAAAATCCAGCAGACGGTTTCTGCTGAGTTGCACCAATTTCCCCTGAAAACATCTCAAAACTAGTTGATTTTCATCAATAAAGATGTTCATCAAGTTGATTTACCTATGGATTTTGAATGATATAAATGATTTTAAGGTCATTTTGTTCCCATCACTGGCCCCAAATGTCCGACTTCACCAGGTGCTCCGTCGCCCCTGGTGCCGCCGGGGGTGCTGGCAGAGCTGGCGCAGCGGCCCAAGGCGCAGCCGGCGCCACAGATGGCACCGCCACTGGGAACGGTGACCGCGCAAGTCCAGGCACCGGTGGAGGTAGTCATGGCAGATCCCCAAAACCAGAGGATACCATAGGCTTACCCTCTGGTAATTTAACATAGCTATTGAAAATGGCCATTGATAGTGGATTTTCCCATTAAAACTTGTGATTTTCCATAGTTATGTTAGTTTACCGGAGGGTATATCAACCAAATAAGTGGGATATTGATGGATATGACTGTTGATATAGTGTAGTGGTCCAATGACTTGGATGATTTGGTACCCCCATTTTAGGAAACCTCCATGTGGGTTCACCTGGAAAGTAGCCTGAAAAGATCTGAAAAGCACGGAATAGCATGGGCACCCTGTAGTTTTTTGGGATATTCTGATATTCTGCACTATCTATGAGGGAAACCAGCTACTTAGATGTGAATTGGAGTTTCAGGGTTTTGAAGTGCCGAGTTGGTTGGCTGCAGGTTACAAAACGCTTGCAGTACTAAGCATGGCGTGTCTCAACATTGTATACATTTCGAAGAGTCATTCTTATAATTTATAGATAGCCCTCCTTGCGGCTTTCCTCATGAGGTGTGGGGTTCAATCCCTAAAAAAATGCATCCTTGGCGTCCTTCGGATGCTGTCGACATCTGGCAGCGGATCTGTTACGCGTTGCGTTTGCACCCAGAGCATGTCAGCAAGGGTGGCACTGTAAAATCCTTCTCCTGTATATTTTTCTAACATCTGGAACTCAATGATGCTTTCCTCATACTTCTCATGATACATGATTTTCTAAAGACTTCTGTTTTTTTCTGCAATTTGATATAATTTGCGCATCACCTGGAAAAACCAACCGTTGATGCCATTTTTGTAGGCGATGGCTGCTGGAAAGCTCAGTGCAATTGAGGTTGGTACTGGCTGTTATTTTTTGGGAAAGAACATCTTCTTACTGAGAGAAATTTGGAAGTCAAGAGACATCATTTGCAATCCTGAGCTGTACTTAACATGTTCATGTACTTTCTAGTTTTGTGGTCAAAATATGACACACTTGTGGGGGTGTTTAAAAAATGAAAATCCGGATATGACTGGATAGTTGAGGTGTGATACCCTTCTCACCAAAGACGATCCCAACTTGACATCCATTGACGAAGATGCTTTCAGATCTCCCACTAGTTATTTCAATATTTTTTTGGGGTTACCAAGAAGATCCCACCCTTTTAATTTGAAAATAATATGGTGCCCTCCTCACAAATGTTTAAACCATCATTCTGATCTTTCAACCCAATAAACCAACAATAAATGGTGGATATCAGGATATCATATGAATGTATCATAATTTATATGAATTTATATGAATTTATATAGTAACCTATGATTCATCCTGACACTTCCTGACCGCTTCGCTGGTGCTTTTTTGGCCAGGCCATGGCGGGCATTGAGGCCCCTCACTTCGTGCCTGTCCCTGAGATCCCCAAGTTGCCAATGACGCCACAAGTGGATGCCTTTGGCGCCACGTTGGGGAGCCAAGTTGGGTGATGGCGAGTTGTGAGTGAGATGATTTATGTCTATAGCTGATGGGTCAACTTAGCCCAAGGAACCGAGAGTTATTGATCATTCTGGTTCCAATATACTTAGAAGTGCTAAAGTATGAAGCAATTCGTTCATTCCTAGGTGGACAATCAATGTTGAGCCATAGCAAAAATCTCAAGAACAGGCCGGACCCGTACATACTGCGATGAAAATGCAGAATTGTCATTGCCAACTAACTTCTGAGATGTTTTGATCATCCTTGGCTACTTGGTTGGTTTCTGAGCATGTCCATCCATCAGCATGCATGGTAGCAATATCATCATCATCATCATCATCATCATCATCATCATCATTTTCATTGTCACCATCACCATCACAATGTCTACTGTATTGTCATGATATAACATGATACATTGGTTGATGTTAGTTACAGAACATCTCTATATATATATATACACCAAATGCTTCACATCCGGCCCGCTCCTTTCCTCGCCATTTCCACCTTTCCACACTTCGTTTGAGGTGCGCTGGAGCAATGCCCCCACAGCCTCCCGCTGAAGGTGGTGTGAGGATCTCAGGATGGGCGGAAAATGGACCCAGGCCTTTGGATTTGAAGCATCAGACCTAGGGATACGGGATAAGTATCAACATGTATCAACACGATTCAACACGTATATCAGCAACACTGCTGGGATGTTTGGAAAAGTATCGTTGTTGCATAATTCCACTTGTGGCCTGTCATATTCACAGCACTTCCTGTAGGATTGGTGCCCCGCACTGTTTTGACTCCACCCGCTGAGGACAACCAAACGGCAGCTCACATGTACATGCTGGCGCAGCTGGCAGAAGAGTGGGAAGCCCTACTGTAAGTTTTGGGGACCGGGACGGGGCAAGCTCATAGGGCCATAGGCTAAGCTTGCCAGGGATGGCCGGGAAGTATAGAATCGGATGTTAGGAGGGTCACGTGAGATTAATGGTGCAAGTCTTGTAAAGCTTGAGTGCTGCTCAGAGGAATGGAATCACAAGCAGGATCGTCCTTCTAATTTGTGTTTAGTTTTGTTTCATTGTGGCTCCTGGGACTTTCCTGTTCGGGGGGTTTCAATCTTTCACACATTTTGTATATTCTCAATCCTAGCTGGGCTGATCCGCCTCGACTTTCAGGTCTTTTGGGATGGGCGGTTCAACCACCATTGCGTGGCTCCCAAGGTCGGCACAAACTGCGGCCTCTGCTGCTGCCTGCCTTCATGGCGCTGAGTCAGATACCAACCAAGTTGCGGCTTTAGCTGAAGCCGCTCAGCAAGCGGTCGGAATGCCCAGGAAAATGGGAGGAATGTCCGTAGTCGCCGTAGTCATAGCCCAGGTTTTCCCCAGGTATGAATGAAGGGGGGCCTCTCAGTTTTCGAAACAGGCATGCTGCGGCATGCTCATCCAAGTATGGATGATCCTGGATGGTGCAGTGGCCTGTGGAACTCATGATCAATCATGAATTATACAAGACCTTCCTCTCTCTGAGATTGACATAGATTCCGTTTTGTGGATGTTCAAGGGTTGGAGAACCACAATTCATGCAGCATTTAGATGCATGTAGGATGGATTTAGGATCATTTAGGTGGTCTGGAGACGTCTGGAGCCTCTTTGAGAATCTGTGCTACCAATGCTCAGGCCTTCTTGGCAATTGGTCTCCACCATACCATATCATCATATCCACACTTTCAACGGCTCGCCTTGTCGCACTTAGGCTGCGCGAGCAACATGGGTGGTGGCCCCAGGCGTCGTTGGTGCAACAGACCCGTGCGTGTCACAAACAGCGTTTGATGCTGCTTGGAACATGCTACAGTGTGTTGCAGCATGTTACAACTTACATATTTGTGATTATCTGTGGGTGGGTGCCACAAATTTCATATCATTTCATAAATAGATATCCTAGCATACTGTACCTGCGGCCCAGCCATGGTGATTGGTACCCAGCGGTGTCAACGCGTCAGTCCGAATGCGTCATTTCTGTGATTTCTGAGGCGGCCACTTCTTTGGCCACGTGCTTTCCAGAGCCGTTGCCTGGACAGCCACAAGAGGAGGGGAAGGGGGGGAGATGGTAAGGGCAGTTGAGGACCAAAGGACCAAAGGTTGAGACAAACCCATGTCATCCAATGGTCATCCAATTGTCAGCCAATTGTCATCGCATATTATCCCAAGTTTTTTCAGAGCAAGATGAGTAGGTGCAACTTTGGCAAGCAATCTAGAGAATCTAGAGTAGAGCATTTTGGGATTTACCACGATCTGCCGCAATGTCGACAACAAGCCAGGTGATTGTGAGGGGCAAGCAGACTGCCTTTGTATGTTTGTCAGCTGCATAGGTGGAAGCAGCAGCAGCTTTTAGGTTGTGGGAAAACGATCCTTGTCGCAGGACGAGTGGACCAGAAGTGTTCGACAAGTCACAGCGCAAGCTTCGGAGGCGGGATTTCATCAGCCCAAAGTCAGGACATGTATCAGACACTTTCATTACAATGCATTTACAAGACTTTCATGCAACACATTCGAGTCCGTTGTTGCTTCATTATGGACACAATTGAACAACCATTCGGGTGATGATTGCACGGATGTTTAAAGTGGCCAGTGGGTTTTTATCACGCCTGATTTTCATAATTGTGGTGTCGGGGGTCGCAATCATCAAACAGGTGATTGTGACGGTGATGGCAACAACCAGGATTTCTGTTGGGACTAATTTGTGTGCTATTTGTGTTGTTATTATCATGGCTACTATTGACTACTTTGGAGTATTAATTATTATTATTGTAATTTATTGTATATATATATATTATATTGTTTAATATGTTTATATTATTGTTATTGCTAGTGATTATTACTGGATCCAATTTCCTTGTTATTGTTATTTTGTATTCCCTGGATATCCAATCTCGATGCTTACTCATCAATGTCGATATTTACTCTTGAGAAATGTGACGCAGCAGATTTCTCAAACTGTTCTGCTGCGGCCAAATTTTGATCATGGACACGTTTCATTCATTAGCTGAACTCATGCGATAATTATCACTTTGAATCACATTTGACACAGATTTTCCCAAAGGATGTGTACATTTTTTTATATGTTTGCCGTGCACTCTAGATCCCCTCCAACTCACTTTTGGAAACAAGCGACACTATGGGAGAGGAGTTAGATCAAGGGCCAGTCATGGAATTTGGGTGGGGTTGGCCATATTTCATGCGTAAACAGCGCAGTTCACACAAACTTCACAGGTACTTCGTCTTTTTTCGCGCTACCGGCTACCGCTAAGGGCTTTTAATCAGATCCATCCGTAAACATTTGTCCAGGCTGCGGAGCAAGCAGCCATCAGCTGCCGGATACAGGACTGGGGCCGAAATGATGAAAGAAGCGTCAGGAAGTACTGAAAGTAAGTTGGAACTGGAATAGTCTATGATTATATATATAATATATATATATATATCCATTTAATCATTTGTCTAGACAGTTACATACAGTTATTGCATGTGAAAACGCAACACCGGGGTAAAACTATGATAAACTATGTATGTCATTAGGGTTATTGGAAAATGACACAGCTGGATACAACTGGGTAAACAGGGTCATACATGGTCAGTTCTATTGCCAGATACTTAGGTTTGAGATCAAACCCGATCCATTGTTGACTTCACCTGTACCAAGAGGGATTTGGGCCCCAGCAATTTTGATAGCAGTGGCCCCTCCAGGGTGACAATTGATGATGGCATGGCTTAGTTGCACACCGTGCACACCCAATCGAGGCCAATGACATGGTCAGCAAAGCGGCAACGAGCTCGAAATCGAAGGCGTGTTTTTTGTGATGGAAGATATGGAAGTGGACACAGGTTGAATGGGAAGCGTTGGGGTGGAAAGCGGTCACAAGTTGCTTTGCCGCCCTGTATCTCTGAAGTTCAGTCGATGCTCAACGCAGGTACCTTGCAAATGGTTCCTCTTGGGGCAGTGCAGGAAGGCATTGATGCAGCTAGTGGCTTGGGAGGGGAGCGGGGTTCATTCCTAGATGTCCTCAAAATTACTCAGATTCCCTGCGGCGGTCCCTGGGCCAGACCGTTTGTGAGTTCTCGCATGACATACAAGATCTGCAACCAAGGCCGGGAATGGGCTTGCTGGGTCATGGCCGACAGATGGGGTATTTTGATTGAGGTACAGTACATATTATTATGGATTATATTTAGGATATGCTGCAGTGATACTAAGAAACTGGATGTTTGTTCAGCATTGTGATGTAAGGAAGGCTACTGGGCAGTCGCCGTGATGTGGCTGGAAGATGCTAGGGATTATCTCCCAGTCCCAGGGGTGGGATCAGAGCTGTCCATGAGGCTATGACAGCTATGAGGTGCCGATGTGTATTGAACTGCCCCTGAGGCCGCTACACAAGAAGCGTGCTGAGGAATGTGACTTGTCCTGGATATGTTCTTGGGAAAATCCCGAGAGAGAGAGGTGTAAGCAAAAGATATTTGGAAATGGAAGCTCCAGACACATAGACGCCAGGCACGTTTCCCAAGTCTGAGCTAGGAAAGGTGCAGCGGATTGTGCAGTAGTAGCTACTTGCTACACTTGGAAGGTGGCATGTCAGGTGTGACCTGAGAGACTCTTGAACGTCTTGAATGAAAGATATGAACGCTACAAAGTTGATAAATGTTGTAGTATAGTTGTAGCGACATTGGCTGATGGGCAATTTGGGAATAGAGTCCGATGAGAAGACAGCTTCTCTTGCACTGAGGTGTTTATTTCCAAAAGGGCCAATGTGCAGGACCCAGTCAGAGAAACAGGGCCATTTGACAATACACATGGAGGCAAAGATTGGAGCTCCCTGATGGAAACTGCAGATTACCTACTGCTTTGTTGGAAAGATGTGTTTGGGATCACCTGCTGTAGCTAGCGTACGAAACTGGTGGAGGATAGCGAAACCATCAAAACCATTGGTTCCCCTTTAAGCAATGTATTTAGATTAGCCATTCTCCCGGATATTGGGGACACCATGGGACACCATGGGACACCATGGGACACCCATTTTTGGGGCTCTCAGGTACTCGTGGCACCGCGTGTCCCTTCGCTCATGGCCCGGAAGAGTTAGCTGAGATCACTCGAATCGCCTGGGTGCCCAAGGGCAGGTGGCCGCCATATGGTGCTCTTGGTGGGAACATTAACTTCAGAATAGTTGAGAAGCTCAAAAATGGAATCACATGGATATCACTCACATAGATATATGATATCTGATGATATATGATATATGTACTTAATAGATACTAATAACAATAGTTAATGATAATATCCATCTATGTCAAATAACCATATATCCATATCCTTTCCAGGAATCACAACCATTCTTCAAGATCTTCAAGCAGTTTTGGGGCCGAGGTGAGTGACTTGAAGGGGGAGAAACGCTTCCTCCGACGATGAGGTCCTGCGGTCCTGCGGCTTCCTCAGTTGGTGGTCAGAACCAGAAATTCTGATGTGAAAACTAAGGGGTTCCATGGGTCCCATGGGTTGTGACCCAGAATTCAGGAACCTTATATAGTGATATATAGTGCATTTCCGCTTTTTGGGCGCCAGATGACACCAGGCTGCTGATCGTGAGGTGGAAGAGCAGAGTTTCGAGGGATTTGGCGGAGGAAACAAGAGCCGCTCTTTGCGCTGAGGCTTTCGAGTGAGGGTTTGACGTAATATGTTCTTGGAAACTAGGATGATTTTCACTAGGATTGATGTTCCATGCTTTAAATATCTTTAAATTGGAGATTGGAACATACATTTTTTTGATTCCATCACCATCATGGTTTTGAGTATAGGGTACCATTCTGAATCGCGCTTGATGCATTCTGCACCATGGTTACCACGCATTGGTTTTGGTTGACAAGGTTGAGCGACATGTGGGCAGTGTGCCACAACTGGATTGCAAGTGCGGGACAATACCATGAATCAATAATCAAGATTGATGATTGATGGTTGATGGTTGATGGTGATTGATCTAGTTAATATTATATAGTTAGTTATTAATGATTGATGATTAATGTGCCATAACTAGATTAATTGATGGTGATGTCAATGCTGCTGCTGAAAACGTGATGACCATTCTTTGGACGGTTTTTCCGATCCCCACTCTGGCTCGCGAAAAACCGGTGCGACAGACTTAGCGAAGGTGGTCCAGACCCAATGATGCCAGGTAATGCTGGCTATTTTCAATTAGTCATGGGGGTTCTCATAAGACTTGCCCTTGCTTAGAGGAATTTTGTAATTTTTTTCCGGCCATTTTTGGGATTTGTTGTCAAAAACTTAAAAAACACTCGTTTTGCCATGAGGGGAGATATTTATTTTTCTCGTTTTTCTGCTCCCGCATATCTTTGGCTTCAGTTTGCTGTTGCAGAGTTACTGATACTGGCTGCTTCGGCCATAATCAGAGAAAGGCTGCTTCGGCCTTTTTTACGAGTTATGTTGCTGAAATTGGTAACTGCTAAATGGGAGCGGCTGCGAGAACAGTGGCAAAGCCGTTTCCCATTGAACCCAGAGGATCCTTCTGCAGATTCTTGGCTGCAAGCTCGCAACTCTCAACTTACTTATATAATAGGTTTCAACTTAACTGCTCTGAGTCGTCCTGGCCTGACCCTGTTAAGCATTCTGCATGTCATTTACCAGATAATTTGCAGTCCCTGGTTCCTTCTAATACATTCGATTCTGTCTGTGTCTTTGTGCAAAAGAAGTAAACAGAATAGCGGCCACAACGCCAAATGATGCTGCTTTTTTGGATTACGTGCACAAGACGCGTTCCTTTTTGACAGAGCAGCCGGCCCGAGCGTTTTGGAGTTCAGGATCTGGACAGTGCTATCGAGTGCACCAGAAATGGATTGTTTTGGTGCTTTTCTCATTTAACTGATGAGAAGGAGATGAACGACGAATGGGCAGAGCAGATCATGATAGATTTGGACATCCTGACTACCATTCGCTTACTTCCCATGGACAAGTGCCCAAGCAGCCACCTCATGACCGCAATGCCACAGATGTCACCGGGGCAACGACGCGTTCCTTTGACTGACTTCACCAAAAAGGAGTTTCAAGTGGCGATCCGGCTCCTCAGCGTTTTGGAATATGTTCCAGATGAGTTTAGCAATTTCACTTGGTCCAAAATGCGGGAGGAATGGTTTGAAGACATGTTCAAAAAGGTTCAATCTTCTGTGCACTGAGTGCTGGTGGTCTTCAGAAGCTGTTTCGGCTTCAGGGGCTGTTTCGGCTTCAGGGGCTGTCGACGGTCGAGGCTGTTTCGGCTTCAGAGGCTGTTTCGGCTTCAGAGGCTGTTTCGGCTTCAATCTAACTTTGTCAGGGCATTTATTATATAATAGGATTTTCGCCCGCTGCTTCGGCTTGGCACTAAGATGACGCGCGGCTCTGTTAATTTATATTTTCCCCTTGTTTACAGGGCTGCTTCAGCCGGAGCAACGACCAGTATAACCGGAAGAAAAGGAAGGGTGTGCTGGGGATGTCCCCGAACGGGTGTAAAAATTGTCACTATACAATGGGTATACCGTAACTCTGCATAGTAAATTGACTTTACAAATGTTTGATATATTTAACGCATGGATGAAATTGGAAAATGTTTCTGTATGTTGTTTTGAATGAAATGAAACTTGCAAAAAGCACATCGAAAGGTATCATATATCGAGTGCATCCAAAGTGCATCAAAAACATAATAACATGGACCAACGTTAGGTTAACTAACTTCCTAATGAAATTCAAAAATCATAAACAGAGTGCGTTCACTTATGCGAAAATTTTGGCGACAGCATTTGCCAACTTAACTTGGGAGGGTGGACAGTACACTTTAGGTCACGGGTAGTGTGTAAGAAGAGGGCGGCCTGACCTCTCCTTACCCAACTTGGGCGCGTCCCCGAACTGTGTAAGGAGCTGTCACAGAGAGGGCGAAACAAAAATTCCGCTACGCGGGTTGGTTTTTTGACCATCTGCCCTCTTTTTGCCGCTCCTTAGGCAGGTTGGGCGCGTCCCCGAACTGTGTAAGGAGAGGGCGAACTGACCTCTCCTTACACAGGGTCCCAGACACTTAGTGGTCTGCAGCGGTACTGCCCGCCTGAGCCCGCGAGGTTCATACATTTATTATTTTCCCACCATCAAAAAAAAAGCAATTTTCAGATCGACTACCCGTGAACTTACGTAGGTTAATCTTGCTCAAATTTTGAATTTACGTAGTTTTTCTAATCTTGATCAAAGTCACTGAACTTGTGACATGCATTTGCTATGTCTGGATGAACTAGACTGCACTCTTGATGCTCTTCTGCTATTTTCCATTTTCTCAAAATGAATGATTATCCCTCGAAGAAAGTACAAATTGTCGTAAAGCCATCCCGATTGGTATCGATATAGCTCAGTACGTTGATTGTCCGAAGCCATTTCCAGTTCAAACATCGCATCTGACTCCCGGCTGTTTCGGCCGGTGTGTCCAGCTGTTTCGACTGGGAAGCTGCTGGCTGTTTCGGCCAAGTATGGTACTGGTTCTGGATTGTGGTGGCGTCCTGTCAGACAGGCAAACAAAACATCCACCCAACTTCAATCTCCACCAGACCGCTGTGGATGGAGCTTACCCTTTCGTTCATTGCTTCATACAGAAATATGGCGAAAAGCAGCTGCATGGTGATACTGAGCCGGGTAAACAACTGAGGCGATGAAGGAAAGCAGGGGAACCGCGGAAACAATGAAGCAGAGCCATTTTGTTACCACAGCGCACCAGAAGCTTTTTGTGAAGAGATTCTCCATGGATACTACGTGAAGAGCGTAGTGGACATGACGCCCGCCGACTGGAAGCTGGCGTTCGTGTGCTTGAGACAACGACTTGGCTATTGCGGAATTTGCTACAACGACACCCACGCAAAAACCCTTGAAAAAAGGATGCTGCAGCGACTTCAGAAAGAGATGGTGGACCCCAGCAGCCCACTCTTTTCTTCTGCCTACTCCACCGCCCTTGGAGATGGCACGGCCGAGACTGTCACAGTGCCTAACCCAAAACCAAAGCCAAAGCCCAAAGCCAAAGGCGCTGCCAGTAAGTCCAAGCCAAAGGCAAAACAGAAATCCAAGGCCAAAGCAAAGAGCGGCAACAAGCGGCCTCGCGAAGACGACGGTGCAGAGGACCAGGATCAAGAAGAAGGTGAGTCGGAGCAAGGGGAAAAAACGAAGAAGAAAATGTTTGGGACGCGTTGGAGGACTGAGTCAGCCGTATTTTGGCTGCAAAGCAGCTGTTTCGGCTGTATAGCAGCTGTTTCGGCTGTGTAGTATTATAGGTTGCGTCTTAGTCTTTAGGAAGATGTCGGCCTTGGCTGCTTCGGCCAAGTTTTGTTGAGTACATCTTGACGCGCGGCAGGGGAAAATAAGAATGGGTGGGATGGGGGTCCGACCGGCAAGTTCAGCTTAGTTTTGAAAGAACTGTTTTTCCAATGTCATCGAACTTGATCAGGTGGAATCTCGGCCATCATCTGCAGATCGCATGGGTTGCACGGTCAGCACACTAGCAATTTAGGATCCAGGTTTTAAAAGAAAAACATGCATGGATATTTTAATTCCGCGTTTATCATGGCATGAAGATATTTTTTAGACCTGTAGAAAAGCCATGTGCACCACCAAAAAAAATTTCCAAAATTCCTCTAAGCGAGGCTAAGAAGATTCACAATCTCTGGTTATCATTCCAATTATTTTGGGATGAAATCTCATGCCATGGACGAGAGTTTGATGAAAAATCACCACCCCATGCAGTTTCGGCGGAGACACACGGCAGTGTTGTCAACCAACGTTGTCATCCAAATCCCACTCCCTGGAAGCCGCTCCATGTCGCGACCGGGTCGCAGCTTGAGTTCCAGCAGCCTACCGGGAAGGTCCCCAGGGCTGTGGTTTTGGGTGATGCTAATCTATGTTTTTGGGTATTGTATGAGCACTTGAAGTCCCTAGGACCCTATCAGATTTCAATAGATTTCAACCCGTCATGGCGATAAAGCGGCGATATAACCTGTGACTGGTTGCAGCAACTTTCGTTCTTTTCACTTCTCACTACGTCCATCAGTGTCCTCTTTAAAGCTTCTGTTTTGAGGCGTTAGATATCGTTAGTCATGAAGCGCTTCCAGTGCTTCTGTGGGACGGGTAGGCTTAGTCAGACTGGTGATTTGAAAACCTGAAGGGCTGGAGGATGCTGGACCTGCTGGAAGGCAGAGTACAAACACAGGATCGCCTTGGCATGTAGCTACCATCACAGTACCAGCTCCTTTGCAGCTTGCCTTGTGGTGCCAGGTCAGCTGCTACGAAGCCATGGACAGCCCCAGGATGGGCTATACATGGGGAACATTCACATTCCAGAGATACAAGCGTCAGCATGAGTCTTGTCAGGGCTAAACCAAGTTAAACCATCAGAACTTTCAAGCCTTTGAAGTGAAACATTGAGACATGTTCAAGCAGTCTCCTGACAAGATACTATTTCCATCTATGTCAGTCTATGCTCATAATTTTCCATCGATGTCCCCAGTTGTTGCGGATTCAGGTGCCTCCAAAACCAGTGGTTTCTAGCCATTTCCTAGCCCATTTCCGCCTCACTCACCGGCCGCAGGACGTTCTGGCTGCGTGCAGTACAACCCAGCCATCCACGCGACGCATAGCCCGGACACTGGGATGACGGATTGTGGTGGAGCACCTCGGCAGCGCTGCGATGGTCAAAACATGTGGGGACGGGTTGCTGGGTTTACCACAGTTTACCCGTTTACCACTCATAATATTCGAGGAATTAGGGAAATTAGATCATGAGCCATGATACCGTACGATCTATAATAATTATATGCTTGTTTTTTTTGGTTCTGGGGGGATGCAGCAGTAATGTGTCACTGAGCGTAAAACTATGTTATGCTGAGAATCAATGATCCTGAAAAGGCTAGCATACAATTTCGTCCGGTTTGGGTCAATACAATGCGGATTCCTTTGCCAGACCATCATCCAGCAACTGCATGTTCTCCGAAGAAGATGAAAAAAGGATTCTCGCGTCAAGGAAACGCGGCGCGTTATTTGGTGAATTTGTTGTCTTCTGCGGCACTGCTTAGCGGCCGTGCCCAGGGGACATGGAAAGGTGTCCGAGCTATTTGGTGAATTTGCTCTTTATTGGTTATTGTAATTAGTTAGTCCCATGAACTTCACCATTGCCCGCACAAAAGAGGAAAGAATCTGAAGAAAAACATGTCCAATCCGACTGAGTGTTTTCACATCAAGTGGTTTTGAATGGGCAACTCAGAGCAGATGGGAGATGTGAAGCACTGCTGAACCCCTTTGGTCTTTATTGTCTCAGGCATGGTGGTTTCCAGGCATGACCAGAGGCTGGATGGGATGTGCGCACTGGGCCTTTGTCAGTGATTCTGCTTAAGGGTTGGAAGCGATTTGAGCCGTAGACACTTGGGTAGAACCTCAGTCTTCTCTCTAATATGGATGATTTCTACTCACAGGAGCCTTTTCTTCTCTCGTGTCACTCTGAGAGTCAGTAAAGCCCGCGCAAGTATGAAGTTCATGAGAGGAATGGCGGACATGCGGAAGATTTGGCATGATACAAGCTACTTGTCGGCATACAATTCAGAATTCATGTGGATTTGGAAGCTGAATCATTGCTGCTGTGAATTTTTGAAGTGCCATTGGAAGGAGAGGATAGCCAGCATTCAACAGCCACCATTATGAATTGCTTCGTTGTCCTCATGTTGTCCTCGCAGGGTATGGTGTGCTTATTCCATGCTGCTATAGCTACACATCCCAGGTCACATCATTGATATGCAAACACGGCAGCAGCTGACGAGACAGATGATGGCCCCACCGGCTGGTCCTTTAAAGCCTTTGTGGTCAAGGGATGCTGGGAGGATCAGTGACAAACGTGGGCAGATTTGGAAAGTAGCCTACACAATGCCTACACTGCTTATCCGCGAACTTCCAGCGCCAGGCGCAGTATTCTGAGATGCCACAGACCATCACCGCGCCTCCTGCAACTTGGTGGCACACAGGATGCACACAGGTGTTGGTTTCATGTTTTTTCATTGTTTGATTATTTGATGCTTGACCTTGTAGCTAACTCTGAGTAACCCTATCTGGAGCTATTTGGATCTATTGGGAGGTAACCAACTCACAATAGCAGCCTGCGGGATCCGTACATGAAGCAGCGCCACCTGAGGTACAGAGCAAGACAATGCAGAGGCAGCTGCGGCAGCAAGGGGTATTTTTTTGGGAGTACTTGTATGATGATAAAAAAATGTGGTGCGCGTATGTGACCCTAGTATTTCCAATCATTAACACTGTTTAAATATGATTCGAGGTTTTCTCTTAATTCTTTCGTTCGGGTTCGGACGCAAATCACCTCCAATTCCTTCGTATATCCTTCGTATTAATCACAGATGGCCACTGGTGATTCATATTAATCATAGATGGCCCCTGGTGATAAACTATGATTCATATTAATATTATTCATCCACAGATACATAGACTTAGTATGACTTAGTCAATACCAGTTCTGAACCACTGGTGATTTCCCTCTCAAAAGCTGGCGCTTTCTTTTTGGCGACCAGGCCGCATTCGGCCGGCACGCTGCGGCCCAGTTCGGCAACGAGTCGTCCCGAGCGTCGTCACGACGCTCGGCACAACACCGCCGGGATATATATTTGGTGGCTTATAATGGAACATGCTATTAAAGTGGATTGTTTAGGGGTACCACCCCATTTTAGGAAACATCTATTTGCAATTCTTGATTGAAGGTGATGTTTGAATGATATTAGGACGAATTCACTTGACTTGACATATCTCAACATTATGTGCTGAGCTAATTGGGTCTTGGCTGGGGGTTTCTTCAATGAAAATATTGGAAAGCTTCTCTGCACCTGCTAAGAAAGTTCGAGATGAAAGAAATTGGATCCCCCATGACTGGATCATTTTGACAATATATAAATAAACTCATATGCTGTGTGATGAGTCTTCTATACAGCATAAGCCAAGCACAGCTGTTTGAAGTGCTTCACCAGGGGTTGTAGGGTCACCCAAAACTTTGAGGTGTATCATTGAAGTATTATGATCCTGCAGGAGTGGACTTTATACCCTTCTGGGCAAAACATTTGAAATTATTGGAACAAAAATTTATGGAAATAGTATGATATTAGCAAGATACAGGAACCACATGTGACATCATGTAACGACATTGGGTCACAAGTCCAAAGACATAGAGCGCAAGAGGCAATGATCTAACCGGATGTCAGGAGTCTTCACATCCAGCATCCATGGCCCAGTAGCTGGTCCGGAATCTAAGGAGAAGCCCAGGAAAGCTCCGAAAAGATCAGCTGTTGGGTTGCCCAAGGGTAAAGCAGATTGGTGTCTTAAAATCATATGGATTCATCCCTAGTTTAGTGAAGAAATGAACAGGTTAGGCGTTGGCTATGTGTTAAAAGGTGTATGTGGCTAGTTTGAATATGCATGTGTGAGTCCATTTGTGCCGGATTTGCAGGTGTTTGAGTCCGCACTTGTCTTCGCTTAGGTGCAGAATTACTATTTACGAAGGCCTTTTGAACCCGAGATCGAGTTCGGCATTCTGAGCGTGGCAAATCGGCTGAATGACCTCACCATTGCAGAATGGGTCCACATTTTTCGTAGTTTGATGACTTAGCAAGGCACTCTACCACATTGAAAGGCCATCCCTGTAGCATACTGTTCGAAGTGAAAATTACTTTCTTGACTTGTTGTGACCTGCTTTTGAAACAATTGGAACCTTATTGTAATCATTGAGGCCTTGCTTTGGAATCATTGAGCCCTTATTTTGGATTCTTTTGGACTAGTCAACGCTGACCTTCAGTTTTGTGGAACAGATCCCAACAGAGTTCAAGGGAACACCAAAAACCGCGGCTTTGCTAATTCCGCTATGCTTCAATGATTTCAAAAGAAGACCTGAAGGACTAGGTTCCCAAACGAGGGTACTTCAATTCCATCCCCACTTTCAACTGACATTCAACAATGCTCCGAATCAGCTCTGCCTACGATACGGTCAGGGCCCCCGTCCCAGCATGTCCCAGCCACCAAGGAACATCGAACTAAGCACATTTTTGCAGATCGACTGGTGGGTTTAGCCAAAGCTTGGTAAGTTGCCTGAAATTCAGTTTCTTGGCCAGGATGGGGACCCGTGGTGATCCATACTCTTCCTGGTTCATGGCAGACCCCGGATGGGTTGTCATTTTTTCTCATGTTTTGGGTCGCTCCAAAACTCCACAAAGTTGTGGACAGCTCTTTGCTGCCCATGTCAATGTTTGAACACTTTTGGGTTTGCCAAAATCGCACAGACTTCATCACTTCAGGAATTTTAAGATACCCTCTGGTAAACTAACATAACTATGGAAAATCACAATTTTTAATGGGAAAATCCACTATAAATTGCCATTTTCAATAGCTATGTTAAATTACCAGAGGGTACACTTGGTCAGTCGTTCCTGCAGCCAATTTCAGCACCAGTGGCAGTGCCTGGATGCTTGGGCCCTGATGCAATGGCCCTAAGGGCCATGGATGTTTTGGACAAGCGCTTACACCCACAGGGGTTCCAGGCATGGGGAGGGATGGGGCCGATTGGAACCAGCAAACAGTATATGGGTTTGTCTGAAAATAGGGTATACCCCCAATTATAGCCATTTAGTAGGGATAATGATCATTAACCATTGGGTTTAGGGGTACACTATTTTCAGACACACCCATATAGGCCCAGTAGGCCTTGGTGTAGCCTGCCCCACGCTTGTGCTGCTACTGCCGCCACTGCTGGATCTGTTTCAGCCAGGGAAAGTTGTTCGCTGCAAACCCTAGGTTTGCCCGCGGCGAATCCCGCATATGCTTTGACATGCTCAAATCCCTGCGTAGGTAGGGTTTAAGTTTTTTACTTTCCAAAACAACACACCCTAAAACATCCTAAAACCCTAAAACCTCAAACCCTAGACCCTAAATTAAAATCCTAAATCTTGAAAACTTAAAGTCAAAATCACTGCGTATAGCCAGTGTTTTCATTCATCCTCTGGTGATAAGTATATCATATTGTTTGGATGTGTTGCTTGAGTGTGGGCGAACCCGGGGTTTGGAGAGAAGTTGTTTCATGGCAGCTTTAGGCCAGTCACTCTGTTGAGGGGGTGACGTATCTTTGAACAAGACGTGACGCCTCCATGAACTGTGTCTGCACAAAAACTTTACGGTGGCATTGCCAACATGTAGTCTTGGAGTAATCTTGACGCAGGAAAGGGGTGCCATTGATGCTGAATCGGAATGCTAAAACCAACATCTTGGAGTTTAGAGCCCTTGTGCGGTTGGAAGTACTGCCTGCAGGAGTACAACCTTTCACGGTCAATTCTTCAAGAACCTCATTGTTTGTGGTCACACGATGCCGCTGAACAGACTGGCGCTCAATTCCACAATGGGCTTTTGACAACAAGCGATGGGAGGATGTTGGTAGCCTGTGGTGTGGACAAGCTGGTTTGGATATGTGTGGATGCTTTGCTTGTCACGCGTTTTCTGCATTTTATTTGCGGAGTACATGTCCAAATATATAATCCCTTCCTCCTAATACTAAACCCCCCCCCTAATACAAAACACGGCAGGTAGTTTTTAGTATTAGGGGGGTATTTATTATTAGGGAACCAAATCGAAGTCATGTTAATTAGTTATTCATGCATTAGAATGGAGGAAGGGATTATTCATTTTATACAGATTTCTAAGTAATTCTAATTAATTAATTAATTAGATGCATAATTATGTATATAATTATAAGTGTATATATATATATAATCAATTCATTCGTGTATAATTATGTAGTAATTATTCATGAGGGCTTCATGATGGCTACAAATAAGTAAATAGATGTACAATCAATTAATTATATGTGTATATGTAATTAGTAATCATGAGGGTTTTCATAATTATGCTGGCAATAAGATTTATTTGGCAGATAATTAGAATCCATAATATTAGGGAACCAAAGTGGGAACCAATGTTGAATTTATGTTTTTAAGGATTATATAGGAGGAGGGGATGAATTATTCATTGTATAAAGATCCTTATAATTGTCCAGTTTTTTTTTCCAGCGGGTCAGGTCCACAGACAGCTAGCCTCCATTGTGTGCTGGTTCAAGCAAAAAAAAGCGAGGCAGAACAAAGCCAGTCAGTAGTAAGGGCAAACAGACGGGCAGTAATGGCAGCCGCGCAGCCAGTCCAAGCAGTTGCTGAGCCAGCTGCCCAGCAGCCAGTCACTCAGCCTGAGGGAGCGCAGCCAGACCAGCAAGTGCAGGCAGCTCACCAAGCAGCCTTGGCAGCCCTGGCAGCAGAGGCAGCAGCTTGGCAGCAGACAGACAGTTGAATTAATTAGAGCAGTTGCATTGGAATCAGTTGTGCAGCCAGTTTCATGGATGGATAGATAGATAGATGGATAGATAATTAGTTAGATAGATAGATAGATAGATAATTAGATAATTAGATGGATAGATAGATAGATAATTAGATAGATAATTAGATAGACAATTAGATAGACAGATAGAGAGAATACAGGCAGGTCCCCCCAATACTAAGCACCAGACCTTAGTACTAATTAAAAACTACTCCATCTCCTTGCATTTACCTTTCTAATTAAAGTCCTTACTAAAACTGCTGCTTCTGTGCTGCCAGCCTAGCTCCAGGCAGGTTCTCCCTAATACTAAGCACCAGACCTTAATACTAAAAACTACTTCACCTCCTTCCATTTCCCTTTCTAAAGTCTTTACTAAAACTGCTGCTTCTGTGCTGACAGCCTAGCTCCAGGCAGGTTCTCCCTAATACTAAGCACCAGACCTTAATACTAAAAACTACTTCACCTCCTTCCATTTCCCTTTCTAAAGTCTTTACTAAAACTTCTGCTTCTGTGCTGCCAGGCTAGCTCCAGGCAGGTTCTCCCTAATACTAAGCACCAGACCTTAATACTAAAAACTACTTCACCCCCTTCCATTTCCCTTTCTAAAGTCCTTACTAAAACTGCTGCTTCTGTGCTGCCAGCCTAGCTCCAGGCAGGTTCTCCCTAATACTAAGCACCAGACCTTAATACTAAAAACTACTTCCCCTCCTTCCATTTCCCTTTCTAAAGTCCTTACTAAAACTGCTGCTTCTGTGCTGCCAGGCTAGCTCCAGGCAGGTTCTCCCTAATACTAAGCACCAGACCTTAATACTAAAAACTACTTCACCTCCTTCCATGTCCCTTTCTAAAGTCCTTACTAAAACTGCTGCTTCTGTGCTGCCAGCCTAGCTCCAGGCAGGTTCTCCCTAATACTAAGCACCAGACCTTAATACTAAAAAACTTCACCTCCTTCCATTTCCCTTTCTAAAGTCCTTACTAAAACTGCTGCTTCTGTGCTGCCAGGCTAGCTCCAGGCAGGTTCTCCCTAATACTAAGCACCAGACCTTAATACTAAAAACTACTTCACCTCCTTCCATTTCCCTTTCTAAAGTCCTTACTAAAACTGCTGCTTCTGTGCTGCCAGCCTAGCTCCAGGCAGGTTCTCCCTAATACTAAGCACCAGACCTTAATACTAAAAACTACTTCACCTCCTTGCATTTCCCTTTCTAAAGTCTTTACTAAAACTTCTGCTTCTGTGCTGCCAGGCTAGCTCCAGGCAGGTTCTCCCTAATACTAAGCACCAGACCTTAATACTAAAAACTACTTCACCTCCTTGCATTTCCCTTTCTAAAGTCCTATCTTCTAGGTTCCAATCTTTGAAGAAACCACTCCATGGCTAATTAGTTACACCTTCTGCCAGGCCAAGCACTCCATGGATGCATGCAGTCAGCCAAGTAGCCTCGCAGAAGAGAAAGGATAAAGCCAGAGGAAGGAAGAAAGGAAAGAAGGCCAAGAAAGAGCTTGTTGAGAAGTGGAGGCAGAAAGCGGGCTCCAAAGCACAGAGGCAGGCATTGGAGCAAGTCAGACCAGTCAGCAGCAAGACAGCAGGCAAAAAGTTGAAGCCCAGTGCCAAGCTCAAGTACAGTCACTTGCAGAAAAGGAAGAAAAAGCCATCCATCTTTCACTAGGTAGCCAGTGATTTACAGCCAGGCAAGTCAGATCTCCAATCATCAGGCAGCGATTAGCACAACAGGTAGCTGTTTTAGCATTTTTTTTGGTGGAACCAGTTGTGCAGCCAAGGCACAGCAGACGCAGCTCTTGCAGGCAGCTTTGGCAGCCTTGCAAGACATACAGACAGAAATGCACCTGCTGGGGAAGAAGGTGTGTTGTATGGAGCTGCGACAAGCAGCTAGGCAGCAATATTCTCACTCCTACAGACAGCAAAGAATTTAGAACCCCCAGTAAATCAATTTTTACTTTCATCCCATTAGTTATACACATATCTCCTCCTACATCCACCTCCTATTTTAATTAATTACTTGACATTGACAAATAAATAAATAAAAAAAACAAATATATATATATACACCAACACAAACCCCTCCATCTTTATCTCGACAGCACTCTCCCAGGACAGCTGGCTGTCTATGCAGGCAGACGTAGACAGGCACAAAGAGCAGACAGAGAGTTGGCAGGACTGGATGGCAGTCGTGAAAGGCAGCTGGATCAGTAAAGCCAGACAGGCAGGTCCTCCTTTCAGCTGGTTGATGCTTTGCTGCCGAGACAGCTAGACAGCCAGAGGAGCAAGGAGACAGAGGGGCAGGCTGGAATCTTGAATAATTAGTAAAGTAATTTCTTAATTACATGGGTCACCTTCTAAATAATTACCAATAGTTGCTGTTGTTTTAATGGGAAATATAAATTCAAGATTCCAGCCAGCCCTCAGACAGAACCTGGCAAAGCATGGAGCTCAGCCAGACAGTGAGCTCCAGGCAAGCGGCATGGAAAGCTGGCTAGAATCTTTAATGGGGATTGTTATTCATTAATTACTCCTAAAACCTTTACAACATAACCATAATCAATTAAATTTCTGGGATTCAATTATAAATTAAAGATTCTAGCCAGCTCAGACAGAAAGGCAGCCAGCTAAGGATGCGTAGGCAGCTAGACAGCCAAGAAGTACAGCCAGGAAGTACAGCCAGGAAGTACAGTGGCTGGAGTCTTGAATTTTTTTTAACCCCCTAAAATTAAGGGAAACCCTTAACATAGGTGTTTATGGGATCTTCAAAATTCAAGACTCCAGCCAGCTCAGAAAGACCTTGCAGGCAGCAAGGCATGAGGGGTGGCTTTCAGGCAGCCAGACAGCGTGGTGTCAGCAAAACATGCAGGCAGCTAGACCAGCCAGGCAGCTTGGATTTGGGGAGTAGGACTAGCCCCCCTAATACTAAACACCCCGGGATGAATTAGTTTTTAGTATTAGGGGGGAGAACCACAAATGGTAGGTTGATTTTTGAATTGTTTTTTAAAGGGGATCAATTAAAAGTCAAATTGGCCAAACTGAAATTTTCGGAAATTGGAGATGGATGCCTGTTTTTAGTATTAGGGGGACGTTTAGTATTAGGAGGAAGGGATTAATGTGCAGAATCATGCAGATGCATGAGTTCGATTTTCAATGTTGTCTTGGGATGCTTGTGTTTATATATAATTATATATATGCATATTGTATATGTGTGTGTGTGTCGTATTTGTTTGTCCTCCACACTTCTTCGACCACCATGTGGGTCATACATGCATCAATGCAAACCAGACGCAGAAAAGTGCAGAACATCAAAACAATCTTCTGAATCACCATAGTAAGAATTGCTATCAGATGATATCAGATGCATCAGCACCTATCAAATCCATCCAAATCCAGGATGTATAAAAATCATTCAAAATCTACCAAATCCTGCCAGATGCTTAGGTTTTCCATGGTTTTCCATGGTTTTCCATCTGAGGACAACGCTTTCACCCACGAAACCCACCTCCCGGCGGTGGCCGAGCCTTGGCCAAGGAGCTCCACCCTGGTGGGCGAAAAAGCTGTGGCGCTGCGGCGGGGAGGAGAGGTGCACATCGTCAGCGCAGCTGGAGCCGTGCCCCTGGAAAAAAACCGGGTCTTTCCACCATGGGGTGCTGTGATTCTGCTGGAAAAATTGGAGGAATGCTGGAGCATTCGGTGGAATTCCTGCTTCGAAGTTGTCTGATTTGTATTGATTTTGTGTGTTTTGTCGAGTCGGACTAGCTGGTTTTCGGATTTTGAAAGGATGATTTTGGCTTGCAATTCCCGTGTTCCGCATGTGATGGGATGATGGGATGTAAACTGTTGAGCGTAGTCTTCCAAAGCAGGTGGCAAAGGCGCATTGAAGGGGACCTTCTTCTACCGCACCGCAATTGTAAAAACTAGTTGTATCTATTTGTATCTATTTACATCTATTCATACATGTTCCCTGCGTGCTTCTGCTGATTTCTCCTGGTCTTTACCTTCCTGCCAGATTTGCTCAGGTGCAGGGGGTGCAATTGCCAGCAGAAGATCCAGGAGACCTTCTGGCAGCTTCAGTTGATGGCACTGGGACGGCCACTAGTCGGCATGTAGGGATAGGACATGGCATGGAGAAGAGGTTTGGAGTCTGGAGGGTGTTTTTGCGTTGAATTGCTTGGTGTTGAGGCCTTTAGGCTTTTGGGATGGGAAGGTACTACCGCTAGGCTTAAGTCGTATCAAGTGACCTGAAGTTGTATCACACTTGCATGCGCGTAGTGTTTCGGACAGATAGTTCTTTATTTGACTGGCTATTGACTAGAATGTTGTTTCATCGCTGTGCGCAGTGGTTTGTTGACATGATTCTAGTAAGAATGTTGCAGCAGTGCAATGTGCCAGAAATAGCTCCACAACAGAATGCATAAAGAGCCAACCTGGTATAACCTGGCGAGCACATGTGCACCAGCATGGTTTCGTTGCGAAGAGATCAGGTCAGCATGCTGTTTGTGAACAAGGTCAATCCAGCAGGGAGACCGCTGTACGGCCTCACACTCGGAAGGGTAGGCCCAATTGACCTCTCCAAGCAGAATAGCAAAGCTACTTGGAATTGTGCAGATGTCAGGCTCCAAGACCAATAGATATGGGGTTGGTAATTATACATGACGGCCTTCCAGTTTTTTGGGGACTATTTGGATGTTCAAAAAGGTTACAGTAGGTTTCAGGCTGGCAAATTTATATGATGCTTTAACTCTTTTACAACTCCAAGAGCTACTTGTCCAAAAGCTGTGTTCTTCATCTTCATCAGTAATCTTTGAAACTTGAAAGATAAGGAGACGATGCCTTTGACAACATCTTGGCGTCTCTTTGGTTCAACCCCACCTTTGAGCGCGAGCATTGCTGGCAACGACGGCACAGAGGCGTTGATTTTGAGCAATGGAAAATTTAACTTCGAACGAGGCTTGACTGTGAAGCGGAGCCTCCTCCTATCTCTGAAAAACAAGGGTTCGCCAAAGGTATCGGGTTCTAATCTCTGTAAGTATGATTCGGATCGGTTTGCATCTTGAAGAATGACACGATTTTGTACTCACCACAGCCACATGATGAGGATGATGATGATGATGATGGTGATGATGACGACGATGACGACGACTATTATGATTTTTAGTATGCTAGAAATTAATTACTCTTGTGCGTGTTACTGTACATGTTTTTAGTCTGCTGTAGGCTACTGGATCCAGAATCAGCAAAGGACCATCATTGGGTGCAGAAGATGCATCGGAAGAGCAGAGAAGAGATGACGTCGACGAGTTGGATGAGGAAGACAGCCGCCCAGCAACCACACGGCCTGGCAACCTTCAGAACTTGCATAAAAATTGAAAAAATGGAAACCCTCTGGCAATCAAACATGGGAAAAATCCTCCAAGAACCAACTGACACATGATTAAATGGCTTCCAACGAAGCCACTATGGGCACTGCTTCCGAACTTGGGCACCCGCCGAAACCCCATCAAAATTGTCGGACTGTTCATCCGGATGGTGAACTTTTTATCAATCTTGTTGTCCAAATGATGAAAACTGCGGGAGTTTTGGTTCCAAAGTCGCCCAACCCCAAGACATCCCCAAACCAGAAACAGTGATTTTTTTCCATGATTCTTTCAGATTTTTCCCATTCAACAGTAAAAACCTGGTCAAGAGCATCAGCCCCTGCAGGAGCTAGGTGAAATACTGCGGCGACAGGGTTTGCAGCTGCCCAAGTCGCAAGGCCTTGAGCGACACAGCGCTCTGGGGACAGATTGAAACATGTGAAAACCCTACAAAATGCATCAAAATACCATTGTTTGGGAGATGGGCATCCAGTTTTCCCAGCTATTTATATCTATTGATGCTATTTTGAGGTGAACACCAGGGGATTCCACGGATTTTGACCCAGGTGGCCCAAACAAGTCAAGACATGTCAAGACCATAGTGTGATTTTTTTGTTGGCAGTTTTTCGCTCATTAAAAATGTCATCCAGCTCTTGGAGAACTCGTTTAATTCCAATAGAGTATCAAAATGTTTTAAAACATGTTTTTAATAAAAACAGAAAGAAAAGAAATTAAAAAATATTTCCAAAAAATATGCGTGATTTTCATTTTGTTCATTCGATTTATATACATACATTGTTTTAAAGCAATTTAACAACTTTAAAAATTATAGATATGACTTTTTCATTTTTTCCAGTTTCCATTTTTCGTTTTTCCATTATGTTTCCCGTTGTGGTACCCCGTTGTAGTGCCCCGTTGTAGTACCCCGGGTGGATGGGTCGAAGTCCTCGAGCCAGACCTTTTCATCATTTGTTCATTGTTTTTGCAATGTTTTTCATGATTTTCTCATTGTTTTCATTCTGTTTTTCATAGTTTTTCCTAATTTTCTCATTGTTTTCATATTTTTTTCATAGTTTTTCATGATTTTCTCATTGTTTTCATTGTTTTTTACATAGTTTTTCATCATGTTCTCATTGTTTTCATTGTTTTTTTACATAGTTTTTCATCATTTTCTCAATGTTTGAAATAAAATGGTGTCAAAACATTCAAGACCTGTAACTAGCAGATTGTCAATCTGCTTATTACCCCCCATTTGATAGGAGGACACTATCAGGTGTTCAAAGGACAGTGTTCAAAGAAACCGAAAGGATCTGTAATAAGCAGATTAACAATCTGCTTGTCACACCCCACATGATCGCCATGGTAGATAAGAAGGCTCCAACACAACAGAGCATATTATGGGCAAAATCCAAAAGACCACCAAAATGGACATAAATGGACAACTTTAAAAACATACATACATAAATATATATATATATATATATGATATATATGTGTGTGTGTGTCTATTTTTTGTTTATATTTTCTTTGCAAGGGTCAAGTCCCATTTTTTTGGGATGTCAGGAAAATATGTGGACTTGCGAAAACAACACAAAAGCTCGGGCATCTCACTCAGATATGCTAGATGAGGGCACATGCCGGTTCACCGATGTTGAAGCCTTCATTGACCCTGATAAATTCCAGGGCGTAGCCCAATGAATTCCAGGGCGCAGGCGTAGCCCAATAAAATCTGCACGGTAACAATTACCTCAGTAGAAAATTAAACTGTAATAAGCAGATTTTGGATCTTTGGGGTATAAATGCATTTTGGACTGTAATAAGCAAATAAACCTCACGAGTGGTGAGGGTTTTGAGCAATCTGCTTGTCTGCTGGCAGTGGCATAAATCTGCTTCTTGGGTGTCCCCTTCTATATATATATATGTGATAATAATAATAAATAAATAAATAAATATATATATATTACAATGTTTAAATAATATACCAGTAGTACCGCACAAGGCGGTGGCGGAAGTTTCAGAATAGGAAACCTATAGGAGAGGTTGGTTGTTGTGAATCACGGATGGCAGAGCGAATCCACTGATTGACCGAAAGGTGGTTGGAGTTGTGTTTGCTGGAATGGTTGCAATGGTTGCAGTGGTCACCTCACCCACAACTGCTGGATGTAGTGTGATGTACTGCAACTGTAGTTGTAGTTGTAGCGTAGTGGAGTTGTAGTTGGGGTGTAATGTAATTAGTGTAGTGTAGTTGCAGTAATATAGTTGTAGCTGTAGTTGTTTTGTAGTTGTAGTTGTTGTAGTTGTAGTAGTTGTTGTTGTTGTCGTTGTAGCTGTAGTTGTTGTGTGGTTGTAGTTGTTGTGTAGTGTAGTAGTAGTAGTTGTTGTTGTTGCTGTTGTTGTTGTAGCTGTAGTTGTTGTAGTTGTAGTTGTAGTTGTGGTTGTTGTGTAGTTGTAGTTGTAGTTGTTGTTGTTGTTGCTGTTGTTGTTGTTGCTGCTTGTGTTGTTGTTGTTGTTGTTGTTGTTGTTGTTGTAGTAGTTCTAGTTGTAGTTGTAGTTGTAGTTGTTGTGTAGTTGTTGTAGTTGTAGTTGTTGTAGTTGTAGTTGTAGTTGTAGTTGTTGTTGTTGTTGTTGTTGTTGTTGTTGTTGCTGTTGCTGTTGCTGTTGCTGTTGCTGTTGTCGTCGAAGTTAGGGTAGTTAAGGTAGTGAAGTTAGTTAAGTTAGTCAAGTTAGTTAAGTTAATCAGTGTCTACTTTTTCGACATCTTCACGTCAAAAAAGGCTCAAAACCTTCAGTTTTTTACACTTTTGACTTCGAAATGTGCTTCGCGCCACAACGGCGTGCACTTTTTCGACACTTTTTCGACATCTGAACCTCCAAAAGTGGTCATGGTGTGTTTTGTACATTTTGACTTCGAAATGTGCTTCGCGCCACAACGGCGTGCACTTTTTCAACATCGCAACTTCCAAAAGTGGTCCTGGTGTGTTTTGTACATTTTGACTTCGAAATGTGCTTCGCGCCACAACGGCG